CAACAATAGAAAATATAGAGCTGGTCAAAGAAGGATCACACAGGCTGTTTAGGTTACCAAATACTCCATAAAAATCTGCTCCCTCTCTCTTAGGATTCTCTTTACATAATGTAAGAGAGATTTGTTGGAAACATGCAATGTATGAACATGGGAACCTCTCTACGCATCAGTGTGCTTGTTTGTATTTGAAAGTGGGAAATATCGTATCAGGTGGTTGGATAGATATGATGGATGATATCAGACTAGTGTATTCCATTTGTGAAGCACTTAGAGTAGGGCACATCACTTCATTCTCTATACATTTTCGTATTGTTATATATAGCTCAGGACCATGTAAATTTATGTCACGTAATAAAACTCAGTTTCTTTCTTTTCTGTATGGACTTAGTCTTGTTCTGAGTTTTCTCCATTTTCCTGTCTTTCTTTTTTTGTTTTGTTTCAGAAGAGCGGGAAAGTATTTCCATTTCACATTAAGAGACTTTTTTTTTTTTTAAATTCAGTTACTTGCTATCAGATTTTCATTAGACATAACAGGGTATGTTCTGCGAAGTATACAGAAGAGCACTGCTCATATCCTCATGGGCAGTTCTGTCCCCTTTGTTCTTATAGCCCAACTCATTACTGTGTACAAGGAAATAAGCTTCCTCGGTGTCCTTAGTGGATTCCTGAACTCCTTCCTTCTAGCATTTTGGTATTTTAAGACACATTTTATTATATACAATGGAGAACGAACAAGTTATCTCTCTGTAGGTAGGTTCATTTTAATGTATTTTCAACTCATACACCTGGTGAATTCAGTATATCAAATTTTAGTCACAATCATGTCAAACATAATTTTCTCTTATATAATAAAATATAGCCAATATGTCTAACGTTACAAAGGAAGTTATTTTTAAAATTTGGTTTTATTAAGCCTCTCTAAAATGCCTTGTGAACATGTCTTTATCCATGTTGCATTTATTTTAAATTATATATTTTTAAGTATTAACTTTGGCAGCCTTGGAAACAATAGGCAGCAGCTTGATTAGTTGTACTACTTATAAAGCTAGATTATTCTTGCTTTTTATAGACAAGCATCTGTGGATTAAATGATTATCCAGTATGTGCCACTGTTTGGTAGTTATTTTGAAAACCTGCTTACCAGGATTAAAAAAAGGAATTTTGTGCATAAAAATAGGTCACCAATAAGAAGCATGAACCATTTCTCCCAATCAAGTATAAAATGGTGACACATTTTATAAATCAGGTAAATATAGACATGAAATACAACATTTGAATAGTTAAAAGAAATTCTAGCTGGGTTACATTTTTGTACATTTTACCAAATGCTTATTTTTACCTGCTATTTTCAAATATTTGAAAATTTCCATACATGTATTTTTTCTCACTTGAAAAAGTGAGACAAGTTCTATTTGTTATTCACTTATACTATAATTAAAAATTTTAGTAGATGAAATGGTTTTATTTGCTTTAATATAATTTAATTTCAATAAGTATCAGTCTTTCCCCTGTAAATTTGAAACATGGTGGGAAAGATTACTATGTTTGATAATTTACCTTTTTGTTAATTTTATTGCATAAGTAGTTCAGTCTTAAATTCTCCAAGTTAGCATTTATGTACATAGTTTACGTAAAGCCTCTATGTGCAACCGTAACTATGGCTACGATCACTGCCAGCTTTGCAATCATCTCCATCTAAGAACTGAAAATGTCAGTGCTCTTCTTCTGTGACTACTTTAACTTTGTATTTGTGATAACTTACAGGCACACTTACGGTCACGTGCCCCTCGCTTCCCTGAAACCCTTCCGAGTGAGAAGCACTCCTATCCTCACCCACAATGGCTGCGGAGGTGCTGAGAACACTGGGAAGTCCCGGCTATCCCCTCACCTGGAAGTGCTACCAGGAGCGAGCTAAGTGCTGCAGCATTCTTTCCAGTCAGCTAGCCTGGGAGGCCACCTTTCCAGGACAGCCCACCCACCAACTGCTCCATCTTCATTTGAACTCAGGACAACTTAGAAGGGCAATTCCAGCAAAGGCTGGATCAGACAGAGTAGCCTTCACTGCGACTGTACCGCAGCCTGTTTCATCCTCTGCCAATTCTCCGGGATTCCTTTCTCAGGACTGTTAGTCAAAAAATTTTAATAGATATGCACGCTAATCTCAGAGTCTATTTTCCAGAAAATATTGCTTAAGAAAGGAAGCTATAACAAATGTCCTAGGAGTTAATCTTTTCCATATATGTTAGTTTTAGATCTCGTGTTCATCCCCCAATGGCAGAGCTTTGAATTCACAGTTGCTTTGAAATTTGCATGGAAATCTTAGAACTCTCTTTGGCCAGTCCAGGGAACTGGAGACCAGTATCAATGGTAAGCACTAAGTTAAAATGCTTAAAAGGCAGCTGTGTAGGTGACATAAAAGTCTCAAACGTAGCTACAAAAGCCGCTCCCAACTCAACCAACTAGATCCCTCATGATTCCATCTCTCCATCCTTTAATAGAAAGATACATGATGTTAACCACGCCTCTTGTGATTTCCCTTTTCGGTCTTTTCCTTGCCCTTCTAGGATGTTGATAAACACCACTGACACCTGATTAGTAAGAGGAGATTCTGAAAGTGAAGGTATAGCTTTGACAATTTTATAATCTTTTGAATTTTAACTCTTTTTCAAAAGGTTGTACCAATTTATACTTTTAAAACCTTGTTCAGTGTTTTAAAATTAGTTTTATTCAACTGTACAAACTTGGACACTAAAGAAAAATTAATGCCAAATTGATAACTCAAATAGTTCTTGTTGTATTAGGTATCTCTTCTATCATTCTACCATTAGAAATTAGTATAAACTAACTATAAAAAGATAAAAACACATAGAATATAATTATTTCATATATAAACATAACAGTTTGCTATGTAAATATTAAAATACATATATAATGTCTTATAATTGACTATTTTATAAATAAAACCATATTTAATGTAAATTGATTATAATAAATTATTCATTATAAAAACTTTTCTCTATTATAAAATATTTTCCAGTCTTATTTTTACTAGATATGACTCTTCTATAATATTCTTGTTTATTTGACTAGTAGTTAGTACTTGTCATTAACCAATGTTGTACTTGATTATATTATGTTATATTATAATTGACTAATAATTGCTTAGTCAATACTTGTAATTGATTTACAATACATGTCTGTTCAGTCTGTAATTGAATTTGTGATATCACAAATGTAATTGTGAAATGATGGGTTTAGAAGATATAGGTATTTTTAAAATTCCCTGGGGTTGGAGAGATGACTCAGAGTTAAGGGTACTTGCTGTTCTTGCAGAGGACCAGAGTCCTGTTCCTAGCACCTACAGTAGACCACTCAAAACTGCCTGTAATTCCAGCTCCAGGAGATTTGATGCCCTCTTCTGGCCTTCAAGGGAACCTCCACACATGCTGCAGATACACAGGAATAAAAATACAAATACATCTTTAATCTTTTTTAATAATACATATATCAAAATTTCCCTAAATTTTTAGATGTATACTCATTTCACACTTGTCAAAATTAGCCTTTTATTGTTGTATTTCAGTATTGTGTTTTTCTAACTTTTCAAGTTTGAAACATTTTTTCCTTAATTCGCCAGTCATCCCTCACAGTGAATTTAAGTGGTCATTCTTCCCTGAGAACTTCTTTTCTATTGATCTAGAGTACAGATGCATAGCCCCCTCCCTGGTGACTCTCAGTATTTTAATAGCTCACTCACTCTTGGTTCTCAGCAACGTGTCCTCATACGTTTTGATGTGTCATTATAGTAAATCATATTGCACAGTTCATAGTTTGCAATGTACATTATCTTCACAATGTATGCTTATGTTTTAACTAGAGTGATCGTTAGGGGCATGGAGTCTGCTGTCTCTACCATAAAATAAAGCTGAGAGTAAGAATGGGTGCGGGAGTTAGAGGGAGACTCACCATAAGGCCGTTTCAATTCTTACAGTCTATAGCTTTCATGTAGTTACATTGCTGTTTACAGTGCCCAGAATACCAAGCAACTCAAGACACTGAACCAAAGTTCCGAGATAGCGTCAATGGAGTCAGAAAATACCCTCATTCTATTTTTAAAAGGGAGACTGATTTATATTAGTGGGCTTATGATCCCAGAGTCTTGCTCAATGTGTAAATTTAAAAATCACAGCGATTTAAATGAACCAACTGCTTGCTAGTGTATGGGTTGATGGATTAATGAATGAGTGAAGAGGTGGGAACCAAGCACAAGAATATTCTGGTTCCATCCAATAACGACACAGGTTATCTTGATGGCATGCCATCAACATTCTCAGTGAACACAAGAGTTTTCACACCAAAAAGAGGGAGTAGGATACACAGACACTTTGGAACGCTATTTCGTTTTGCTCTCTGAAAATGGCTTAGCCCCATTTAAAATGAAATCAGTCACAACCTGTGATTCCGTGAGCGCTTCTTTGACTTAGGCAGTATGTAAGGTCCATGTTCCTTAGGAAACACATTTCTTGGTCATGTCTTCAAATTAAAAACATATTTGTTTCCATTGAATGCCCAGGAGGCTTGGCAGCGGTTCCTCCTTCGTCTAGGGGTCTCAATCCACCGGTACTGTCGTGGGATCGGTGAGGACGCTGGAGAAGCTGAGCATGCACCCGCACAGGTGCTCACCAGGAGAGAGGGAGGGAGGCACCTTGAGCCACCCACTCCTATCACCCTTTGGCCACCCCAGCCCGCGCAGGCGCGCTCTCCTTCCTCCCCCCCCTACCCCTACCCCAGCCCCGCCCTCACCGCACCTGCCAGGTCACAAACCTCCGCCCACCCACTCCTGCTCCTCTCTGCCGCCCGGGCTTGCCCCTCCTTGATTGGCCAAGAGTCCGCTGGAGCGCGTCCAATCGGCAGCCCTCCTGCGCGACCTCTTCCCGCTCCTCCCGCCCCGCCGGCCTCGCGGGCGCCCAGCTTCTTTGTGACTGGTGCTCGCGGAGGTCACTCAGCGCGCGGTGAGCGATCGGCGGGCGGGGCCGGCTCAGGTGCCGTGGCACGGGACGGCCGCGGTGGGCAAGGGGGCGGTCGCGCCGCGACGTCGGCGGCGTGAGGCTTCGCGCGCGTAAGCGGCGCGGGCGCCGGGCCTGGCGGCCGAGCTCCGGTGGCGGGCGCGCAGGTCGTTGACGCGGGCCCCGGCTGGGAGGCGCGTCCGTCGCTGGGAGCGCGGCGTCGAGGTTCTCGGACCATGGAGGACCCGCAGCCGCTGCCACAGCCGGAGCTGCCGCTGTGTGACAGCCTCATCATCTGGGTGAGTGTGATCCGTGCTCGCCGGCGAGGCCCCCCGCGGGGCGGGCTGAGCGAGGGAACCTGCGACTGCCACGTCCACCTGTTCCGCAGCCTGTCCGAGACCGGGCTCTCCACCCAGCCACAGCGCCCCGTGGCGCACAGGTGGCTAGGAGACGCTGGCCACCTCGGTTCCCAGCTTGCTGTCCCTTTGGGCCCACACAGCACGAACGGTGTAGACACGGCTGCAGAGACATGCGGGAGCTCTTTTTCTTTTTTTTTTTCTGTGCCTTCCTTTTCCTTCTCAATACCTTTTCTTTTTTAAAGTAAAAAAGATTTGGCGTTTTTTTTTTTTTGTTGTTGTTGTTTGCGCTTGATGCATGTGCAGGATTCATTGGTGCAGACTCGATGGACCACTGGCTCTGTCCTCGGATTCCAGTGAGCACAATGGTTTCTAACCTGTTGGAATTGCCTAGATATGACAGAACTGGCTTCCAGGTGTGATTCCTAGCCCTTTGTTGTGTTAGGATAATCCTTGACGTCCCACAAACTACTGTTGATGACTTAGAGCTCACCCCAGTTGTGTAGACTTGTGGAGGACAGTCTGTCTGATTGGAATGTAAGTAGACTGGATCAGGAGGATTACATTCTCCAGAAGATTGGCTGGTTGTCTCCTAACGTGAGCAAATCCAAGGGACAAAAGGGAAAGAGCTCTGAGCGTGTGAAATATAAAGTAACTTTTGCACTTTGGACTTCAATGACAAGTATTACGTAGAAAGCCAGTAGCTGGGATTTCAGGATTTAAAGCACTTAGATCTTGTCAATCTGCGTAGTCATTTAAATTAGTATTTAGGTTTAGATAATCTGTTTAAGATTGCGGGGGAAGAAGGCGGTATTACTTTAATGATCTGCTTTGTTTAAAAACAAATGGCTAATCATAGGGTGTGTCCAGGTCTCCAATTTTGTGCTCTGGTCGTGACTGAAGTGGTTCTTTATGATGTCACTGACTTCCCTGTCCTGCAGTGAAGTACAAGATTTTCTTAAAACTCTACTGCGATATTTTAAAATGTTACGACCATATCCATTCTTAAAGCAGTATTTATTAACTTCGTACTTTGTGCTAGTCTCTTTGGAACCAGAAGGCAAAATTCCCCAGGATCTGAAAAACTATGAGCCAAATAAGGAATCACAGACAGGGCGCTTGGTTGCCAGTCGCCAATTGGCTTGGGCAGTGCTCTCCCAGGCTGCTGTGTACTGCGGGAAATAGAATGATTGACAAATTGTCACTGTCTTGTGGTCACACTTATGGCTAGATGTACACTTCTTCTTAACACTGTAACAACAACCAGGTAGTGCTACTTCTTCTTAGGAAGCTCCATGCAGATACTACTTGACTCTACTTTGAACTGAATCTTGGCTTTTAGCCGGAAGATTACCTCTCCTTATCTTTGGATCTAACTTTACAACCTATTCCCTTCTAACTCTTCTAGATCTTGTTTTATCATTTATTTTCCTTGCTGCTTCTGCTGCCCATCCCCCAGTTGAATGAGGGGGTCTCTGCAAGTGCTCTACTAACGTAGCCGAATCCTCAACCTCCTTTTTACTTAAGATGCCCAGGTTAGCCTTGAACTCACTATGGCTGACAAGTCTTTCTGAAGTTATCTAGTAGTTGACTGCTGGGCAACAGAACTCTTGCCTGATCTGCTTTGGCTGTGACACTAGAAGAAAGGGTACTCACTAAGCTCTCAGTCTATTGAATTAAAATAGAGTTGTCTTGGCTCTGCCCTTTAGGAATGGTATTCCACTATTAACTGGTATAGATTTCTTGTTCTGGATTTTTAGTTGCATCGTGGTTTAAAGAAGAAGAAATCATAGGGAATGAGCCCCCAAATCAGAGAAGAGTCATTAGTTGTAACTAATACACATGAACTCTTTTGTCTGTAGCCTGAGGGGAAGTAAGTAGTAGAAAACACACATTTGTCACATTGTCTTTAGCCAGGAAGGTGTTCCCAGATATGCAAGTAATTTTGTGTTTGAGAAGAACTAACACAGTTGATAAGATTGAAGGAAAAGCAGGTTGCAGTGGGGCCAAGGCGTGCAGGTGAGCAGCTAGCTGGCTGGAAGGAGTGTGACATTTTACAGCAGGACTAGGCCCTACCTGAAGCAGAAGAATCATCAAGAGAAGCTGGCTAGGTGAGGGTTGTCTCTTTTGGTAATTCTTTAAGTGTAGGTTTTATGATTTGAATGTTTCTTTTAAGTAGTTCTCAAAATGTACTGCTACTTAGAAAATACAAAGTCAAAGGGAAAAATAGAATAATTTACATAACAGGGAATGAATGTAAAGTTTGAATAAATGTTTTCAGGTTTCATTCTGGTTTGTAGTGTTGTGATGTTGTTTTTACCTTTTATTTTTAATTCAACTTTCACGAGTATCTAAGAGTATTATTGGGCCAGATTATTTTAAGAATTCCTTTTTTAAAATTTTGCTAAAATTTTAAGAGGTAAAAGAAAGTAAAAGCAAATATATGTGCAATCTTAGAATATTACCGATCAAATTATATTTAGAATTTTTTTATTTTTATTTTATGTGTATGAGTATTTCTGTGTCTATGTGCACACATGTGTCCATATGTGTGTACACTACATGCTTGCCTAGTGCCAAAGGGGGCAGAAATGGGCATTGTATCCTCTCAGATGAGTTAAAAAGATGGTTGTGAGCTGACATTTGGGTGATGGGAATTGAACCCTATTCTTATAGAAGAGCGGCCAAGGCTCCTGCTCTTGTCATCTTGCCAGTCTCATTTAAAACAAATTTGTTGTTCTAGACTATAAAGCCTTTCAGTTTACCCAAGAGAAATTACATTGTTACCCACTTTCATTTGCAGTTGGGAGAAGTTGATATTGATTTAAACATAGTGCAAGGAGGCAACTCCATGACCTAGATACACCTTATATGTATGTCCACATTGCTTTTTCAAACGTCTAAAATTATGTTCAGTTATTGCACAACATAGGGCAACTTGAGGGAGCTTCTTCTCCATGTGAGTTCCAGGAACTGAACTCATGTCAAGGTTGGTAGCAAGTGAATTTTACTGCTGAGCCATCTCACTGACTCCTATCAGGATTGTTCTGCCTGATATTCTAAAATTGATCTTTTAAAGCCATTCACCATATCCATTTTGTAAAATATTGATGATATATCTTTAAGTTAATATGAAAAGTTAGCATGTAAATACAAAGTGTTGGCCAATGTTTTCCTTTTAAAGATATTGCGATTCTCTTCCCTGCATATCCACTCAGTTGCAAACTTCTTGTTGCACATGTCATACAATCCATTCCTCCTGTATTCTGAATTCACATTATATGTGTCTTGGTGCTGCCCATTTTATGAACTCATCTCCTGTCACAAGCACATAGATATTCTGTATCTCTATTGCATCTCTGTCTTACCACTTCTTTGTGATTCCTTATTTCTCTAAAGCCAACACGTAGAACTGCTGTGGACTTTCTGACTTCATGTGTCTGGAGGTTTGAGCATGTATTATCCCTGTTCAGGAAAACTTAACTTGTCCAGATTATGTTTGTAACCACTGAGCACAGAACCTTGTGCAGATGCTGATGTAATTATGTTCCCTCCTTCACTCAGTTTTCCCAGCAGTCTTCTGTGGTGGAAACTTTCCAGTTCTTTCCCATTACATAGATCGTTGTTCTAAGGATAAAATGTCGTCCTGACTCCTGCCTGTCTCTTCACTCCCCTTGGTTGACATTCTTTGCCCATCCTCCTTAAATAATACTAGAATGCATGCTCCTTAAGAAATGGCAGTTTTCACTTGTATTTGTATGATAAAAATACTCATTTTCTGAAGCTTCCATCCTCAAGCCCTCTCATCCAGGATCTTTTTACAAGGTGTTTCTAAATTACAAATTTTAAATGAATTATCTCTTTTTTCTCCTTTCAAAAATAATTCATGTATACTGTAATTATGAGCTAATCATGTCTCAACATGACATGTGCCTTTCACTTTCTTATAATTCTTAGTGATAGCTGTTTTGAGGGAGAATGCAGTGATTTTCCCTTGTAATCTCATACCACAGTGCACCACATCAAGTAGGAGCTCAAGAAGGCATCTCCACGGGGTTTCAGAGCAGTCATTGCTGGCTTTAGCCTTCCCATTCCATCTCTCCTTTGTACTAGAAAAACAGGGACAGCTTTGTTGAATCTTAAAATGCACAAACACATTGTGAGTTATGCTGGGATGGAATTCTGTGGGCTTTGATAGTTAATTGGTGATCCTGAGGCTAGTAAGTGAATAGTGAAGGGAATGAGTAATGTACAGGAAAGGAAATCATAATACCTTTAAGTATGGGTAGAGATTCGATTTCTATACATTTATATGATCCGTTTTAACTGTTACATTACTTTATAAAATTTTTCCTATTTTGTATTTGCTGCTTTGAAAAGGATGCCAGTATTCTTAAAGTACACATGAAACATTAAAAATTACATTAACTTATTTTTTTTATTGTGTTTGTGTAGTTGTTTGTACGGCTGGAGTGTGGAGGTGAGAGAACAGCTCGCAGGAGCTGGTTCTCTACCACATGACTTCTGGAGAGTGCATCTTATCAGCCTCATAAACATTTTCAAAATCAAGATTAAATGTTAGAAATAGCTGAAGCATTCTAGATTGGAACAGCTCAGCTGCCTGTCTCTGTGGCTAATTGTTGGACAGTCCAGTTTCTTTCAGAGCTCATTTATATGGTATTAAGTAGTTTTAGATCTTAATAGTTTTAGCTTTTATTTTTCTATCAAGTAACTTCAATGACATTTTAACTAGTACTTGTTCAGTTATCTTAATGTTCTCCTTATAGTAGATTCATCTGAGAGTTTGTATTATTCAGAAGTGCTGAATAATTTCATACATAGCACCATGTTCTATTAGGCTTGATTTTATGTACAAATGTGTTTGTTATAAAAATTTTACACAGCTATAGAAACACAGTCTTCCATCTGTATAGTTGCTATTTCTTTATTTTGTATTGTAGGGATAGCCCAACAGTATGGTGATTTGTTTTGTGTCATTTTAGCTGCAGACATTCAAGACTGCCTCACCCTGTCAGGATGTCAAACAGCTGACTAATGGAGTGACCATGGCACAAGTTCTTCATCAAATGTGAGTAGTGACCAAAGACCTCATAGGAATGGACATCCAGCAGCAGCTAGAACACTTCTATAAAGGTGACTGAGAGTTCATCCTATCCAGTAGACATAGTCAGATATATGGCACCAGGACATTCTTGCAACTAGGGAACAAGACCATTTTACCACCTCATGATTTCTTGCTTGTTTATTAAGATTCATTTTAACCAAATGATCGATAAAGATTCATATATCGTTGTATCCCACATAATCACACAGAAACATTGCTTGGCCTATTAGCTGAGGCTTCTTACTAACTATCTCTTTCATCTTAAATTAACCCATTTCTACTAATCTGTGTATCACCACAAGGCTGTGGCCTACTGGTAAGATTCTGGGGCATCTGTCTCCTTCAGCAGCTACATGGCGTCTCCACGACTCTGCCTATTCTCTCTCTATATCTCTGTTGTTCGGATTTCCTGCCTGGCTTTATTTATTCTGCCCTACCTTAGGCCAAAGCAGCTTTATTCATCAACCAATAAAGCAGCATATCTACAGAAGGACATTCATCCCATATCATATCGCTCAAGGGGAAAAGGCTAAATGATTGATATACTTGCATTCATTTTCTACAAGTGTAGATTGTTCTTTTGAGGACTCTTTACATGGACATTCTTTCTTTGAGATTTTGAATTTGGAAAATGAACTATAATAAAAATCTAATACTGAAATAATAGTAATTATGAGTCCACCAATAATCCTGTTAATTTTATGGACTTTGAAGTTACAAAGCATGGACAAGGCTTGAATAGTTAAGATTCTGGCCTTGGGTATATTAATCTACACTAAACAGTATTTAAAAATTGTGAGTTCAGAATTGGCCATTTGCACTATTGAGGATACAGTTTATATTGTTGACTGTAATCCTAATCCCTGGACTATGGTTGGGAAATATTAAGAAATAATAGATTTAAGAATGTTTAATATAACTATTTAAAAAGAGACCAGACTCCTGTTTTGACTTTATTGTTATCCAGTCAGAGATTATTATATTGACTTCTTCCCACCATCTACAAGATGAAACTGACTTGAAAAACTCTATAGTTGGAGCCACAAAAATCTTTATGCCATTCCTAGAAAAACAGCTTACAATTATTTTAAAATCTTAATAATTTGGTATTATCTCATTTGAATATTCAGATTTTATAGTTAAAGCATGTTAACATTTTCTTCAGTCATTGAAAAGTACTCCTTAACTTCCCAGTTTTCTTAAAATGTTGCAGGGAGGATACTCGTTTGTTCCCCGCCAATTAGCCCCAAAATAATCACACAGAAACTGTATTAATTAAAACACTGCCTGGCCCCTTAGCTCTATCTTTTTATTGGCTAACTCTTATATTAATTTCAACCATTTCTATTAATCTGTATATTGCCACGTGGTAGTGGCTTACCAGCAAAGATTCGGCATGTCTGACTGGCGTCTCTCTGATTCTGCCTTCTTCCTCCCAGCATTCTGTTTAGTTTTCCCTGCCTAGCTCTGTTCCCCTACCGCTCTGCTATAGGCCCAAAGCAGTTCCTTTACTAACCAAATGAAAGAAACGCATAGTATTCCTCATTGTCCGCTAAGTTCAGCTAGATTGCAGTGGGTTTTTGATCCTACTGCACGTACTGGCTTTGTGGGAGCCTAGGCAGTTTGAATGCTCACCTTACGAGACCTGGATAGAGGTGGGCAGTCCTTGGGCTTCCCACAGGTCAGGGAACCCTGATTGCTCTTCGAGCAGATGAGGGAGGGGGACTTGATCGGGGGAGGGGGAGGGAAATGGGAAGCGGTTGTGGGGACGAGGCAGAAATCCTTAATAAATAAATAAATTTAAAAAAAAAAAGAAAGAAACGCATAGACAGAAGTGTAACACCCAATTCTGTGTTACACCCTCGGTACAGTTTGCATGCCACTGTACCGTAAGCGAGTCGGACAAGGGCCTAGAGATTGAAAGAACACACAAAGAGACCTGGGTCATTCGAAAGGAGATCAGCCGAATGCCGTTTATTCAACTTTGGGAAATCCTTATATACCGAGCTGCTGCACAGGGATTTCCGCCCAGGCAGGTGGGAAATTACTATGCCAAAGATGGAGTCAACAATGCCCTACAGCTAATCACCAGGCGGGACAGGGGAAGCACAGGAACAAATAGAATGCTTTAGTTAGCTGACCAGAAACTGTCCTCAAGATGCACCCTAGGAACAAGGATAGACCAGGGCCCTACACAGAAGGACCTCCTACATTAAAATACTTCTTTCATTTTATTTTGTTTTAAAACTTTCTACTTGACCAGAGCCAACATGGTACTTCTTGATTTGAGGATGCCATCATTGCTTGATGAAGGAATGTGTGTCTCGCTGCTTTCATTGTAATAATTTTTGGCTGATCGGAATAAAAGATATCTATTCATTCAATTAACGGTGCTATGTGAAGACATCAACCCCAGCTAAGACCCTAAACAATAGAGGAGAGGGGGGCCTGATTTTGACTTGCCCTGTAGTCAGACTGATGAGTATCTTAAATGTCACCATAGAACCTTCATCCAGCAACTGATGGAAACAGAGACAGAGACCAGCAGTGGAATACTGGGCTCAGCTCCCTAAGTCCTGTTGAAGAGTGGGAGGAGTGAGAATATGAGCAAAGAGGTTAAGACCATGATGGGGACACCCACTGAAACAGTTTACCTGAGCTAATGGGAGCTCACCAACTCCAGCCAAACAAGGAAGGAACTAACATAGGTGCAAACTATAGTCCCTCTGAATGTGTGTGACAGTTGTAGGGCTGGGACAGACTGCGGGTTCACTGGCAGTTGCACCAGGACTTATCCGTACTACTGGCTTTTAGAGAATCTATTCTATCTGTTCCATTTTAAGGGCACTAGTCTTATGGACCCATTCTAAGTTAATAAGATCTTTTCCTACTTTGATTGATACTGTGAAGACTTTATTTCCAAATAAGGTCATATTTATAGGTACAAAGTTAAAACTGAAATATATCTTTTTGGAAAATGTGGTTCTATATACTGCTACCAAAAATGAATCCATTCCCCCACTTTGTCGGTTGACCAGCCATGTAATATATGTTTTTATTGTCTTTCACTGGATGACTTTTGCAAAGAGGAATGTGGTATAGAATTAAAATATTCAGGCTTTAATCATTTTTCATTGTGCAGTTAAATGATAAACCATGATAGCCAACATCTGAGTATTTACCAAGTATATCATTATAGGTCCCATTATATGGGTTATTTGTGTGTGTGTATGTCTGTGCTTGTGCAGTTATCTGTTGTGTGCTTATGGAACTCAGAGGTCGATGTTGAGTATTTTCCTTTATCATTCTCAACCTTATTTTTGAAACAGGATAGTCTCTGATCTGGAACTCACCGTTCTGGCTGTCCTGGTTGGCAGTGAGCCCCACTCCATAGCCAGCGCTGGGGTTGAAGACATGTGCTGCATGCAGCTTTCCCATGGGTGCTGCAGATCTGACTCAAGCCCATGCATTTATGAACTGAGCTGTCTTCCCAGCCCTCATTCAACCTTTTTATTTATAAGCTGTGTATTTACTATTTTTATGTCCAGTTTATCCATGAAAACCAAAGGTGTAGAGAGCTACTTTCAGAAGTGAAACAATAAATTGTAAGGCTGGGATTTGTATTAGCTTAGTCTGACTCCAAGGCCAGTGTTTTTATTCAGCAGTAACAGTAGAAATCCAGTACCTCAAGTCTTTCTGATAGAATCTTATTCAACAATAGTCTTGGGGCATCAATAGATGACAATACAGTTTTTATTAGTAAGTAGAAATATAATTACTCCCTTAAGTTAGCTGCTAAAATTCTTGAAGATGCATCCTGGATGGAATTAAACATATTGGAATGATTTTTGCTTAGTTTTCATTAGAAAATAATTGGATTGTTTTTATTTTTCATTAGCTCATTTCCTCCTTTTGGTGTTTCTTTAGTATCAAGATCAAGTTCTGATAAGTGTATAAAAGAAAACAAAAACTATCAAATCATATATATGATGTGTCAGAGCAAAAAAGTATAAAATGTCTGAGGTTGAACATCAGGTTTAACTAGTGGGAAGATTATTAGCTCAATGTTAATGGTTACCAAAGAGTGAATTTCCTTGTAAGAAGGCTAAAATTAGGTAGGTTGTTATGGAGAAAGAAAAATTTAGTAGCTTCATTTAAATTACTGCTAATCTCACTAAGGATAGATTTTAAACTATGAATACTTCATACTGTGGTTCAGTTTTGTTTTTCATGTTACAAAAACATTTTAAAGTTTAGCTTTTATATTTTTGTTTTAGTGACGTAGCCTGGTTCGACGAATCTTGGTTAAGCCGAATTAAAGATGATGTTGGTGACAACTGGAGAATAAAGGTACGCAGACATGAATGGGTGGGTCATACATGGTGCAAGCAAACAAGCGAAGCTCCACACAGCGGTTCTGATCTCAATTGATTTTTTAAAAATTAATTCATGAGGGCACTTTTCAGTTTGAGTTAACATATATTGTACTGGTCTGTTTTTATCAACTTGACCCAAAGTAGAGTTAGTTACCTTAAAAGACAGAACCTCAATTGAAAAGGAAATGCCTCCATCAGATTGGCCTGTATGCCTGTCTGGTTGTCGTTTTCTTGATTGTTGATTGATGTGGGAGGACCAGCCCACTGTGGGCAGTGTCACCCCTGGACAGGTGGTCGTGGGAAGTTTAAGAAGGCAGACTGAATGGATGTGAACCTGAAAGCTAGTTGTTAAGCAGCTGTCCTCCAAGGTTTCTGCCTCTCCTGCTGCTTGAGTTCTGGCCCTGATTTCTTTCAGTGATTGGTTGTGGTCAGGATTTGTAAACTCAATAAATCCTTTTATCCCTAGCTTGCTTTTGGCCATTTTGCAATAAGAAAGAAACTAGGACATCTGAGTTTACTCATAGATGAATACCATTTTATAGTTACAGAGCTTTTCTTCCATCCAAGAACACTGGTCTCTTTTCAGTTAACCCTCAGTGACTGGCTTCTGATGGCTGTCTGTCTGCTTTGAGTTTCTTGAGTTCTCGTTTCTTGAATTCTGTATAAATGCACCAAACTGTGCACTGTGTGTGTGTCTGTAGACTTCATTCACTCAGTATAATGATTTTGAGATTCATCTGTGTATACTACATTGATATGCCATTTTTATTTAGCTATTCACCTTGTGGGATAGGTGAACTATTTCTATTTTAGGTTATAGCAGTGAATCTTTACTTAGACTTAATTTCATTGGGGGGTAAATTTCTTGGTGGAATTGCTGGTGTGTGTGTGTGTGTGTGTGTGTGTGTGTTTAACTTTATCTGCAAATGATTTTATATTTTTAAATCCCTTTTACTTCTCTTGGATTTCTTGGGACTTGGGGGCCTGTGTTTGTTTCATAAAGGATGTCTAATTTGTGTCATAAAGTTTTTAACAATACTAGTATTGTAATACTATGCTAATGAATAATTATATATTTAAAAATTATTTATTATTCTGCATGTATGGGTATGGGTACCATGTGCATGCTTTGTATATGCAGAGGTGATAAGTGAGCATCACGCCCCTTGGAACTGGAGTTATAACCAGTTGTAATTAGTCATGTGGATGCTGGGAACTGAATCTGGGTCCTTAGTAACATCTATCTTATTTTTCAGTTTTACATTTTAAAATTATTTATTGCATTGATTTCCTCATTTACTTCTCCTTTTGCTGTTTACACATGTTCTTTTTTATACTGCTTCTTTATTTTTGAAGAGGTTTAAATAATAAATATTAGACCCATTTTTGTTCTAATATTAAACACTGCCTTACATTCAATGCATTATGAATATTTTATTATTATTGTGCATATGTTGTGTGTAGGGAGTGTGCACATGCTCCATCATGTGTGTGGAGGTCAAAGAACAAGTTTGTGAACTTTGATTTCCCTTCCCACCTTTGCGTGGGTTCTTGGGGCAAATATCAGCCTTGCTTTCTTATCTGTCTTATGTCTTAGTGAGTGCTCCAAGGGCACCTGAAAGCAATATACATCCTCATTTCTTCTCCAGACATGTTTCGTTCCACATTTGTTGATAGTGCAGTGTGTATTTTGTGTTTAATTTCTCCATAACTTACATAGGGAGGCACCCTTAAGTCTCTGTTGGTGGTAATTATTTTTCGTTTCAGTTCTGATAATAATAAATTCAGGTCTTATCAGTTATGATAGTTTCATTTCATATGAGTATTTTTAATTTTATTGCTAGGTTTCTTACATATTTTTCTGCCTTGGTGAGGAATTTGATAATGTTTTATTTTTATTGGGAAAGTGATTGTCTCTCACCTTTGTGTATGTCCCTCATTATTAACATGAAAAAAACATTTATTTTTTCTTTTTGTTTTATTTTAGGCTAGTAACTTAAAGAAGGTCCTCCATGGAATTACAAGTTATTATCACGAGGTACAAGAAATACCTGATTTTAAACGAAAATTCCAGTTGCTTGACTTCTTGTTTATAGCTTGTATTGGAATGAAATTCATAATTATAATAATTATATTGCCATTTTTAATGCACTAAGAATTTTTGTGAAAATGGTGATGTTTAAAGCTTAAATGCATTGGATTTCCAAAAGAGAAATAAAATTTTATTTTATTACCCTAAATTATTTTTACAAATATAGTTTATTGTCTATTAATTGTTGGCTTTTGAACTGATTTTCTTAGCTAATTTTTTTTTAATGGCACAGAAATAAACTTGAAAGTTTGTTGTAAAAGTTTTAATACTACTATGAGAATTTTCTGTGTGCTCTACACATCCAGAATCCTTATAACTTTTTAATAAGCTTCAAGAAAATAAAGAAGGGGAAGAAAAAAATCAATCCATTGGATTTGTTTTTCATTTGTAAAAGTGTGGTAGTTGATGTTGTGATACGTACTACTGCAGATATTCTTCAGACAGTCTGTCTTTTCTTCATTGTGTGAATAACTGCCTTTCTTAATAATAATACCTTTCTATTTTCAGCTAGCATAATCCTGTTTACTGCTTACTGGGAAAGCATTTTTGTTAGAGTAAGATAGCCTAGGTTCTTCTTAACAAATCCTTGTTTTTCTGATAGTAAAAGCAAGCAAAAACAATATTGAGAAGGTGCCAGAATATTGCTATTTTGGTTTTAGTCAATAACACTGAGTTGTGGTTTTTTAATTTATTTACTTTATGAACTTATTTTAATTTTTCTTTAAATAGTAATGTAAATTCTCTGTAGCCTAATTAACTCAGTGATCTAATATATCATTTGATTCTTCAGTTTTTGGGGCAGCAGATTTCTGAAGAACTTATTCCCGATTTAAACCAAATAACTGAGTGTTCAGACCCTGTCGAGCTTGGGCGGTTGCTTCAGCTTATTCTAGGCTGTGCAGTCAACTGTGAAAGGAAGCAAGGTAAGCAAGTTTTAGACATTTGAGGTTCCCACTTTCTAGAAACTTTCTGCTTTGCTAGTTCTTAGTGCTGACATTCACAGGAAGGGGTTGTCTTCCTGCTGCTGAGTGCCTGAAATCACCTTGCACTAACTCGATCTAAATTCTAGACCTCCCTGTCTTCTGTCATGTTGCAGCTCTTAAGTGTCCTGTGTTCTGGTGGTCAGTGGCCAAATTAAGTTTATTTCGTTCTTCGATACCTGGTATTTAGGACACCAGATAGAATTTTAGGTTCATTTAATTTTTCATAATAAAATATTAAGCTAATAAATTTATAACCCAGACTTCCTCAAATAATACCTGCTGTGTTTAAAAGAAACCTGTCTACTATTTTCTTTTGAGAAGTGGAATAGTTCACATATTAATGGAACCCATGCATTACACTAGTATATGTACACATAGCAGTTTGTGTGCTGCTGAGCGTGAGATGTCACAAAGCCGAGTAGAGTGAGTCTCCTTCCCTGTGGGGGCTCGTCAGTCTTGTGTGTCTCATCCATCTTGTGTCTCTTGTCCATCTTGTGTACCTTGTCCCTCTGTGTGTCTTGTCCATCTTGTGTCTCTTATACATCTTGGGTGGGAAGAGCTTTGCCAGAGCCTGGTCTTAGTACATGGCCTTCATAAAGACTTCTTTATCTTCAAGAAAGGGTAAAGGACAGATAAATTCAGTAAGTCCAAGCTCAAGAAATATAAAATAAAATCAATTATAGTTTATAAAATATATATACACTCACATGCCTTTCAGAGGGCAAGTAACTACTTTTTCTATTGTTAGTGCTGGGGGCATTAAAGATCTATATGTTGTGTTTTGTTTGTTTGTTTTGTGAAAACTAAATCTTTACTCATATAGGTTAAAATGTCTCTGGCTATTCACAGTTTGACAAGGAATAATTCAGGTTTAAATATAGTACTTTTTGTTACAGTTTGGCTCTTTTTATTCCTTGATTAATACTTTTCTTCTATTTTAGTTTCTGGCTATTTGTAGCATATTTTTTGCCTAATTTATGTTTTCAAAATTTCAGACATAATTCATTTTCAGAAAAGTTACATTTGACTTTGATTCTATTTCATTTAAGTATTATTTATTTTTTCTAGTATTGCATTCTTCCATTTTCTTGTAAATTCATCTTCTATTATAAGCCATGATTGGCAGTGTAAGCTATACTTTTCCCTGGTGTTTGATGATTTTGTTGCATCCTACAAACTTTATCTACTGTCTTAGTCATAATTTAGACCTAAGCATCACTAGATATTCTTGTCTTCATAGTTTTGAAAGGAAATTCAGTTCCTGAAGATACAAGTGAAAGTTTACTAAGCAGTCCATATGAGGAAACAGTCTTTCTTTCAAAATATGTGTCTGGCTTAACAATTAGGTTTGAATAGTTACATAAAACGTGCAAGCAGGCTGAGGATATGGCCTAGTAGCAGAGCTCTCATCTGTCATGCAGAACCCTGGATTCCATCAGAGCTGTAGAAGGAATGAAAATAGGAAAAGCAAAAACAAAAAATACAAGAAATGAACCCCCTAAATTTCATGATATCAAGCAACTTCTGCACTTTTGTGGTTTGAAGTGACAATTGGCTTAATTGTTAATAATAACTTTCTCAAACAGAAAGATTATTTTAAACATAATTTCTTTATTGATTTTTTTTAAAATTTACTTATTTCATATGCATTGGTGTTTTTGCCTTCATATATGTCTGTGTGAGGGTGTTGGATCCCACGGAATTGAAGTCACAGACAGTTGTGAGCTGCCATATGGGTGCTGGGAATTGAACCCTGGTCCTCTGGAAGAGCAGTCAGAGCTCTTAACTGCTAAGCTGTCTTTCCAGCCCCTCTTGATTGATTTTTAAAAAATCTTACCTCATGCACCCTAATCCCACTCACCTCTTAGGCTCCCCATATCGCCCCTCACTTTTGCAGCACATCTTCAAAAGATAGTTAAAACAAGCAAACAATCAAAAACAAGAACGAAACAAATCTCGTTGGTTCTCCATCTTTCCTGCATCTCTAACATCTCTTCATTTGTCCTGGTGGCATTGGGAGCGATGTGTCACATAGTTTATGTACCCTTTTGTCCAATCTGCTTTACTAGCAAATGTTTACTGAAATGAGTCACTGGTCTGGTTCAAGACCTCTGGTTTCTGGTACATCATCACTGGATCCTCACCAAAACTCTGGGACATCCCATGTCTCCTCTGAGTCCTGGAGATCCTGCCAGTGTAGTTCCATAGGACCAGTCTCTTCATGAGCTCCATCAGGCGGAGTAGATGTTAGTTAGGGTGGGCCAACCTAAGACCAGATGTAGGCCTGAGTGGTAGCTGAGCTGGTCAGTCCAGGCCATTGGAGCCACATACCTGAGGTGAGAGGGTGGAGCCAGATTCTCTATACCCATGCCATCAGAATCAGTTTTCCCTCTTCTGTGGTGAGGAGTCGGCCCATCTCTCCCAGTGCGGGGGCCAGCTCTCTTGCTGCAGTGTCCAGAGAGAGAGAGACAGGGCCAGTGAAGGGCAGGACTGGCTCAGCTTGGCCCCCTGGTGTCATCATGCATGGCCTTTGACCCCCTGAGGTCATCAACACAGACCTCCATGGACCCAGACATGGCCCTCAGCAGCAACTCAGGCCTGGACATCATCTTTGCTCTGGGTAGAAGCATTGGCCACACAGATCAGAACACTCAGATCAGGATGGCTCTGGTGGTGGCTTGGACCCTGGACACCAACAAGGCCACAGTTTGCAGCCCAAACTCTGGGATTCTGTGTGACTTTGGTGGCACCACAGACCTCAGACTTCAACACAGACCCCTACCATGGTAGGACCACTGACCTAGACATGTCCTTGGCAGCAGCCAGGTCTGGATGTCCCCATTGCCCCAGGTGGCAGTGTAGGCCACTCAGATTGTCACAGCCCCAGTGGCAGCATAGCCCGCAGACACCAACATGGCCCAGACCTCAGGCTTCCACGTGGCCTTCAATGGTAACAGCCATGGACATGAGCAGCAGCACAGGCCACTCAAATCTGTATGACCTGGCTTCAGCATGGCCCTTGGACACCAACATGATCTGAACATCCATAATCCTCAGTAGCAACAGAAGCCATGAATGTCATCCTAGACCCTGGCTGCTGTAGGGCCAGGGACCCAGACATGTCTCTCAGCTCCAGCCTTGGCACCATGATAATAGTATGCACCACACAGATCTGTGTGACCCCAGCTGCAGCATGACCCTTGTGCACCATCGTGGTCCCAGTTGGCTGACCAGATCCCAGGTAACCACATGGCCTTTGGTTGCAACAAGAGCCACAAATGTTGACTGAGACCCTGGCCGCTATAGGGCCGTGGACCCAGACATTGCCTTTGGCAGCAGCCTGGGCCTGGATACACCAGGGCCCTGGGGTGGCAGTATAAGTCACCCAGACCAGTTTGGCTCCATTTGTGGCACAGCCTTCGGTCAACAACAAGGCCACAGGTGCCAGCCCAGACTTGAGGCTTGTGTTGGCCTTTGATGGCAGAATGGGCCACGGATATTAACACAGACCCTGGCTGCCATAGGGACCAAGACGTGGCCCTTGTAGGCAGCACACGCCAACCAGGACACCTACATGGCCATAGGTGGCAGCCTAGACACTGGACATCCCTGTGGCCTTTGGTGGTAACATGGGCCACATCACCATAACCCTGGGTGGCAAGCAGGTCTCCCACATTAGCCTACTCCTCACTGCCTTCATTTCTTCTGCTCTGCCGCTTTCCCCATCACATGAACTATTCTGCTTCTCTCCCATTTCTCCCCCACATATTTGCTCATCATAATGGGATCCAACTGCCTGGTGCTGCAGGCAGGATGTCTTCCTGCTGCCTTAAGGGCCCAGCCGTAGCCTCACCCTCCTGAGCACAATTGCATTAAGGGGCTGGCTGTGTTGTGGACTTGGTGAAGTTTTTTTTTTTTTTTTGTAGATTTCAGCAAACTTGAAACATTCCACCCTCCAGAACATTAAAGGAAACCATTATGTCTTTGGTACATTCTTTAGTTAATTCTTTTTCTCCTTAGCATTTAGTGATCAGGTGCATACCATAATATTTCAGACCCTTAGTTACTGCAATAAAAGGAAGATTTAGAGGACTTACAGGAGTGTTTAAAAGAATCAGTAAAACAAATTTTGGATACATTGAAGAACAGTAATTGGATAAGAACGTACAGTTGAAGTGGACTCAAGTCTTCAAATATCTGAGACATTCTTTAAGGCCACATTTCCTGCCTGGATGAATCACCTTCTTACTGTATGTGTTTGTGGAAAGCTTTAAGCATCTTGTGAGAAGTAGTGGATGCTAAGCAGGTGTGTGGAAGGCCGCATACATACCTCTGGGATACAGATGGTACAATCGCAGTTTCTGGATCTGAAATTGCATAGTTATTATAAATTGTTTTAATATTACTTGTATTTTTTATTTTACTAAGATAAAGGGTTTCTTCTTTGGTTAAAAATTTAAATTACTAAGCGTAAAAATTTTTATCTTGCCTTTAATGGACATACTAGTGAATTAGTGTATTTGCATGAAAGATCATTTATGGTTAATTAATTTTCACACTTTGGTTATTAGGTAGTTAAGAAATTATATGTAACAAATTTATTTTATTTAAATTAAATTCAAGTTTAATTTTTTATTTGTAGAGCATATTAAAAATATAATGACCCTGGAAGAATCTGTTCAGCATGTGGTCATGACTGCAATTCAGGAGGTAAGTGATCCCACATTCACACGAGTATGAAAGTACTGAACAAAGTTATGCAAAACTATGTGTAAATTTTTTAACATTTAGAAAATGTCAAAAGTCTTCAAGCCCAGTTTTAGAACCCCAATTCTAAAAGTCATCTGATAGTTGGCATTTTAAAGTAATTTTATTTAAATTTAGAGATCAGCACCAAACCTAGGCTCTAATGATTGCTAGGCAGATGCTGTTCCATGGATCTAAATCACAGCCTCTAAAAATTCTTTTCATTACCTTCTACTAATAAAGCAAAATAATCAGCTTTGCTGCATGTAGAACGTTCTATTTCCTCTCTTCTTCCTGCCAGCTAGGACAGTGTTCCCGACACTAGTGAAGTGGTTCTCGACTTGTGGCTTGTCTAAGACCCTTGGAAAACACAAATATTTACAATACAATTTATAATAGTAGAAAATTACAGCTATGAAGTAGCAATGAAAATTTATGGTTGGAGGTCACTACAGCCTGAAGAACTGTATTAAAAAGGGCCCAGCATTAGGAAGGTTGAAAACCTAGTGTATCTGTATTGTGCATTTAGAATTATAGGCTTAGATTTCAGAGTCAAATAACCCGAATTTAAGATTATATCAGACATAGTAGAAGGGTATTGGCTCTTAATTCCAGTTACAAGTCTTGGGTAAAAAGCATTAACTTATGATCTATGAGTCATTTTTAAGAGGGGCATGATAATATATCCTGTAATCCTTGCTCTTGATGGAGCACGCAAACTTGAAATCAGATTAGTCTACCTCATGAGAACACTGATTAGAAAAAGTACAAAATAAAAGATATTTAAGAATCCCCTATTTAAAAAATATATTTGTGTTTATAGTCAGTAAAATGTCTCCTAAAACTTGCATTGTAATTTATTCTTAATCTTATCACTAATATGCTTGAACATTCTTAGTTGATTCTACCTCTAATGAAGTTTTTTTTTGTGATCAATGTTTTAATGTTCCTTAAATTAAAGCAAGAGAAAGCTAAATATAAGTCAATTTATGATAGATACTTCAAGTAAAGAGACTTTCATAAACATTGCACCATTGCACTTAACTTTGCTGTTTTAATTTCCTAGTTGATGAGTAAAGAAATAGTGAACTCTCCTGCAAGTGACACCGTTGGAGAATTAGAGCAACAGGTAAGACTTTCATTGTGGGTGGAGACAGTTAGCGATGGTGACATGGTTCCCCTACCAGCTATTTTTACATGACTTAAAATCACGTGCATGATCCCTCTTGTGGAACTGAATATGCTTTACAGTAATATCCCACTTGTATGTGTTTTGTAGTGAATATAAGTAGTGACAGCTTTAGTGTTTTCTGTGATCCTGTTCCAAGAGTCAGTGGCACTAAATATTCCAGCCAGCCTGTTACTAGCTGTGTGGCCCTTTCTACATGGTTACACTATTAAACAGTAGATAATTTTTTAAAAATCTCTAAAATTTTTATTATGGTTTCATTACTGACACACACACACACACTTCTGTCCTTTTCTCTGAGATTAAAGAAATAGCTCAAATCTCAGGATCTTGTTGACAGCACTTTTTACATAGGATAAAGTTCCCCCTCTCCCTTTATTATAGTTAATCAGGGTTGTCCTGGAAAAGGGTGAAGAGAGGTCAAATGCATTTTTAGGTATTTCTTTTGTAAACCTCTGGCTCCCCGCTCCACAACCTGGGGTAATATTAGATATCTTAAAGAGTATTTCAAATTGATTTTTTATGGAAATTTTGTTTAAATATAAACATACTTTTAAAACATATTTTCTGCAATGAAATTAAAAAATAAAATCTCTAGTAACCTTTAAAATATATCCCAAGAATTTTCATAAAGTTTTATTTCTATGGAACCTTATCTTTAAAATTATTATATTATGCAAATGTCATACCAAGGCAACACATGAAGGCTCATTAGTTAACAGGTGATTTTTTAATCATGATTTCTGATACCACTATACACATGTTGATAGACGAATTTACATTCTGGTTCACTCAGCCTGATTTACTGAGAATGATGCTTTCTGTTTCAGCTTAAAAGGGCCCTAGAAGAGCTTCAGGAAGCCATAGCAGAAAAGGAAGAGCTAAAGCAAAGGTGCCAGGAACTGGATATGCAGGTATGGACACGGGAACCTGAGCAGAGAGGGCTCTTTTTAATTTAAATAATTAAAACTAGTAACCTGTTCTGAAGGTTGGTTTGCATTTCAGGGAAGAGATATTAAAATGATTCTTTAACATTTAAATAGGAGTTGTATAAGTATTTTTCTCTGCTTTGAAAATTGTTGACTTGATTAGTCTTAGAGAAAAGCGTGCCAACTGGAAAATTTCAGCTAATTAATATATTAGGATTCAGTTTGAATTTTATAAAAATGGAAGATTTAAGCAGGTTGTGGTGTGCACGCCTTTAATCCCAGCACCCCAGAGGCAGAGGCATTTAAATCTCTGTGAGTTCAAGGCTAGCCTGGTCTACAGTCAGGGCTAAGCAGAGAAACTGTGTCTCCAAAAACCAAAAAAAAAAGGTTTAAAAAAATGGAAGAAATGAAAGACTTAATGTATTGTCTCCATTGGCATGGTTGTTTTTGAATATTAAGTGAAGTAATTTAATGTTCTGTTCAGTGATGCATGACCCTTTTAATAAAGTGTAACTCTCTGGTTTATCTATATGTTCATATATGTATGTATGTAGCCTCCTATGTTTGCCTTGCCATGTATATGAATATGTCTTATGTATTTCCTATATTAAATAAATGTGGCATGAACAAGTATTTGGGAACCAACTAAGTAAAGACATAGTTGTTCAGGTGTGGCACACTTGTATCCAAGTAGTCTGAGGATGTAACTTGATGTATTTAGTGATTCTGTGATGATAGGAACAAAGTAGTGACGTTGAAGGATCTCACTCACCAAGTGAAAAAGTATGTTTCATCTCATGGTATGACTAAAAAACAACCTTAAGAATTGTCAATAAAACCAGGAAAGGTTAGCATAGGTGTGTGTGTTTGCACTGCCGAGTATTGAAACCATGTCTCTGTAAATGTTTCTGTGACACTGAGGTTCTGTCCCATACCCCTAGAAGTTTTTAATGTTGATAGTGAGGCTCCATTTATTCATTTATTAACTGATGATAAAAGAGCTGTGGCTGAATCAAGGTGATTATAACAATGGTGCTTAAGATGTTAGCGCTGAAAAAAATACATGAATGTCTTAAGTGAAGGTATTAAAATCAGAGAAGTGGATGGCTCCAGAGGAAACGTTTGAAAACCGTGCAGCAACACGCCTCCTTGCCTCAGGGAGTACCCACTTTTTGCTCTCTCAATGCTCCTGGTGTTTCTTCTCAAAACAAAACTAAAATCATCAGAAAAGCGCATATGATAACATTTTAATCAGAGCATAGCATCACTGGTGCAGTCATTAGCATTAGTAGATGATGTGGTCATTGCTTCTTAAGCGCTGCCGTGGCTTCTTCTGGTTCTACAATGCTGCCCATTCAACCGGAGCATAGGGCTTTTTCATTGTGCTAGCAGTATGTCATTATTGTGCCAATTATGTTTATGCAGATATTCCAAAACCTGAAATGCTCAGAGTAGGGGTCCTCAATCTGTATTCTTTCATTGTCTCATTCTGACCCTATCGTGTTTATGTCAAAATAACTCCAGCATCTCTTACGTAAGTACTTAAATTTCTACTCTGAGGGTCATTCTCTTTTTGGTGTTAGAATCACTTATTTGTGACAGGGAGGTAGTCAGTAAATACGGCTGACTACATTGGCTTTAGAACAGAAAATTGTTGTGTTGTGTGTGTGTGTGTGTGTGTGTGTTTGTGTTTTATCACCTAGTGTCATATTCTCAGCCTGTCTATATTTCTCATTTGTGTGTTTTACAAAGCAAACTGAAGCACTGTTTGATTTTTAAAGGGTTAGATTCATCCATTAGTTAGCTTCAAAACAGGAATTAGTTTAGGAACTCCACCGAAGGACAACAATGAGAGTCTTCTAGAGAAGAGAGTAAAGTCAAGGAGACTGTGAGATGGCTAAGCTGGTAAGGTGGATGAGTTCAGTCCTTAGAGCCTCTGTAACAGGGGAGACCACTGACCCTACAGAAGTGACCTCTAACCTCTGTACTCCCATAATGTGTGTGTGATTGGTGTGTGTGATTGGTATGTGTGATTAGTTAGAGAACAAGTTCCAGGACTTGGTTTTCTCCTTTCACCATGAGACTGAACTCAGGCCCCCTGAGCTATCTTACCAGTACCCACTTACATTTACATTTCTCTCACCCATTTTACAAGATAAGTAAGTTCCTGTGCACATGAAAACATTATAGCTGGCTTTTATTTTCTTAGCTGATTCTTTAACCAAGTATGCTTGTCTCCAGGATATATGACTGTGGTTATTTTCTACTGTGAACCTAAAATGATAATTTAGGCTGAGAGAATGACTGCATCCTGAAAATTAGCTTAGACCTCAAACTGTTTAACTTCAAATTTAGATTTAGAAACACTGATTTGATTTCTCTTATTCTAAAATTCCTGTACTCAGAATTCTAGTGTGGAAGAATCCTTAAAACTTACCTATTGGTCAGACTGTTTCATCCCTCAGTCAGAATTAGAGTACAGAACTCCCAGCTCGTCAGTGGTGGTTTTCTATTGATGTTTGTTTCTCAGGTGACTGCACTTCAGGATGAGAAGAATTCACTGGTCTCTGAGAACGAGATGATGAATGAAAAGCTTGACCAGTTGGATGGCTCTTTTGATGATCCAAATACAATGGTTGCGAGAAAGTATTTTCATGCACAGTTACAACTAGAACAATTACAAGAAGAAAACTACAGGTAGTATTTTTTAGTAGAAATTACTGAGTTTTATTAAACTGATATCTAAAGAGTCATAATTATCAGTAGCCAATAACTGAGAATTATATACGCTTAGAACATTGATTAAAGTACACCTAACAAAAGTATCAAATGGTGTCAGCAGTGCCTACAGGGTTCAGTCAGACTAACCACGTAGGATATCCACATTAAAACAAGGACTTCAAAGATATAAGCCAGATATTGGCTGGAGACAGTAAGAGTTGGGAGAGGGGTCACAGAGGCTTGGAGAGAGCATGTCCACAGAAGTGAGGTAACAGTAATGAAAGGATGTAGATCTTAAGCTTAGAAGGTGCTTTTCATGCAAACCATTTTTGCTCTTTAAAATAAACAGCCCAAGCTCTTACCTTTAGTAAAGGTTGACTGTTTCTGACAGGCAGGCTACTGAGCCTTGTGCCAGGACCTTAGGACAAGCATTTTGATTGTACATTACATATATTTTCATATCTTTTCAAATTTGCAAAATAAAGTTGTCAGGATATGAGGAACTCCTTCCTACATGTCTTTTACAGCTGTTTCATGGTTGTATTATTATTATTATACAGCTTTCTCTGCTTATCACAGTCAGTATTCATGTAGTCACTCGGATGTTTAGAGAGATGCAGATTCTTTAGCCCCCTCTAAGCTTTAGCGTGTGTTTCCTAAAATCAGCAAACCACAGCGTAGTGGTGATGATAAGGAGAATGGTCACTGACACGATGTTCCTGTCTAAACTACCGAGCATTTTCAGATACAATCAGTTGTTACATTTTCTTTATAACTTTTCCTGTTGAAAATGGAATCCAGGGTTTCATTAACTGGTTTTTGCTCAGTGGCTGCTAAGCCTGTCACTTTTATCCTTTGTTTTGATGTGCTGCTCTCCTAGATTTGACCAAGTCAATCATTTATCCTTTAAATGTAATCTTTCTTTTTAGTACTTTCTTCGTGACACAGCAATATGCCCTAAACTGGTTGTCTTTAATCTGTTGTAATCTATTTAGAATTAATATTTTACTTCCTTACATATCATATATTTTTTAAAAAATTACTGTATTTATATATCCTTATTTTTCTTTGCCAATTAAAATTTCAGTTAGAACCAGATATGCATAAAAGGTAAAGTGAAAACTAAGAGCATTCTGTACCTTTCATTTGTGTTTCAGTGTTAATGGCTAAAAGTTACTTGAATTTTTCCTCTTGTGAAGGTGGAATTTAAGTATGTCGTACTAACTTCAAATCTCAATGAGAAGACAAAGGATGAAACTATATTAAAAATTATTTTTTTTAAGGCTTGAAGCTGCAAAAGATGATTACCGTGTTCACTGTGAGGAACTTGAAAAGCAGCTGATTGAATTTCAGCACAGGAATGATGAGCTGACAAGCCTTGCTGAGGAAACCAGAGCTCTGAAAGATGAGATAGATATTCTTAGGTACGGCCTGTCCGGGCACTCGTGCTTGCTTCTAAGCTACTGGTCAAATAACTTGAGTGGTTTCTAGTCTTACCAGAACTCTTACTATCCCATTATATTGATCACTTTTTGTTTAGACTTCTGGTCCTTTTCTGTGTTCATTAATTAGAACTGTATTTAAAGATATAATAACGTTCAGTTCCTTTTTTTTTCTTTTTTTTGTTGATTTTGTTGAGCTATGCATTTTTCTCTGCTCCCCTCCCTGCCTCTCCCCTTCCCTTCAACCCTCTCCCAAGGTCCCCATGCCCCCAATTTACTCAGGAGATCTTGTCTTTTTCTATTTCCCATGTAGATTAGATCCATGTATGTCTCTCTTAGGGTCCTCATGTTGTCTAGGTTCTCTGGGATTGTGATCTGTAGGCTGGTTTTCTTTGCTTTATGTTTAAAAACCACTTATGAGTGAATATATGATAGTTGTCTTTCTGTGTCTGGGTTACCTCACTAAATATGATGTTTTCTAGATCCATCCATTTACCTGCAAATTTCAAGATGTCATTATTTTTTTCTGCTGTGTAGTACTCCATTGTGTAAATGTACCACATTTTCCTTATCCATTCTTCAGTCAAGGGGTATTTAGGTTGTTTTGAGGTTCTGGCTATGACAAACAATGCTGCTATGAACATAGTTGAGCACATGTCCTTGTGACGATTGAGCATCCTTTGGGTTTATATCCAAAAGGGGTATTATTGGGTCTTGAGGAAGGTGGTTTCCTAATTTTCTGAGAAAGCGCCATATCCAAAGGAGTTGTACCAGCTTGCACTCCCACCAGCAATCAAGAGTGTTCTCTTTACCCCACAACCTCTCCAGCATAAGTTGTCATCAGTGTTTTTGATCTTGGCCATTCTTACAGGAATCTCAGAGTTGTTTTGATATGTATTTCTTTGATAACATTCAGTTCTTGTTAGGACGGTTTCATATCAGAACCCGTAAACCCAAAATGATAATGTGTTCTTACATTTTTGAAATAATACATGTTAACTGATTTTGTATGCATTACTGTGTTTTGTTAAAGTAAGCCTAGTTAAGAATTCTAGCATTTCTTTCAGGCAGGATTGTCTGTGGGATATAAAATGTATGCTTAGCTGCCTGCTATGTTGTATTTGGGAGTGTGCATGCATGTTGTGGGGGCCTGAGGGCACCTTGTGGGAGTTGGCTCTCCTGCACGTGGGTTCTGGTGACTGAACTCAGGCGTCAGGCTTGTTGGGGAACACCTTCAGCCACTGGACTGTTTTGCTAGGCCTCTGTTAGTATTTTTATGTGACTTTTTTTCCTTTGTTTTAAATACTCATTTGAAAAGAAATCATTTTAGCTATTAATTTGGACTTTGATTTTTTTTTCAGTTTATTTTTATTTTAGCCTAGTTAATCAGATAAATACAGTTCTAAAGAAAATGCTTTGCCAGACAAATTTGTCCATTGATTCAACTTTGTAAGCATATCAAACACTTAGAACTGTTTGCTAAATGATATATGTAATTTGCCTGGGAACTTTAGATAGCTCAGAATTTAGTCATGTGTATCAAATCATACATTTTGATAGATTGTGCTAAAAGTCTAAATTTGAAGTATTTTAATAGTTGATGACTTTACAACAAAAATATTGACTTGAAATGGTTTTAGGCTTATGTTTTTGTTATTGTTTGAATATTCATTTCACAGCTAGAACAAAATATGTGTGCATACACGTTTTATTAATTCAGGGCTACCTCAGACAAAGCAAATAAACTGGAGTCAACAGTAGAGGTGTATCGTCAGAAGCTACAAGATCTAAATGACCTCCGCAAGCAGGTGAAATCTTTACAGGAGACAAATATGATGTATATGCACAACACTGTGAGCTTGGAAGAGGAGCTCAAGAAGGCCAATGCAGCGCGTGCACAGCTAGAGACCTATAAACGCCAGGTGAGAGACGTCTGTATATCTCATTGATGAAGTTAAAAGTTCAGTGTTACGGTTTCTTTCTTTTTTTTTTTTTTCAGTGATACAGAAGTGTTGAGTGTAGTAAGTTGTATGCTCCTGATGAATTTCTTCTTTCTACAGTTGTAGTTTAGGTGACAGATAAAGAATCCAACTTGCAGCCGGGCGATGGTGGCACACGCCTTTAATCCCAGCACTCGGGAGGCAGAGGCAGGCGGATCTCTGAGTTTGAGTTCAGCCTGGTCTACAAGAGCTAGTTCCAGGACAGGCACCAAAGCTACACAGAGAAACACTGTCGCAAAAAAACAAAAAACAAAACGAATCTGACTTATCCTTCACCTTTTTCTACCTTCTGATATCTTCAGTTTTTCATGTTGAGCTTCTGTTGTTTGTCAGTGTTTTGGAATTGGACAAATACCTAGACAGTGATTCTCTTGAAATACTCTGTTGTGCTATTTATCAAGCAACCTAGAAAATTATTAAAATACTTTTAAATATTTTGACTTATTTTAATCTGTTTCTTGAATTTTATGTCATTTTTTTTGATGTTGTGTTTTTTGAAATACTTAGAATTAAAAAGTCTGTTTCCAATTCAGCCCTGAAAGCTGAGGAGTCTCATGAACTATTTTGCTTTACTTTTTTTCCTTCCCAAAGGTTCAGGACCTTCACACTAAGTTGTCCTCGGAGTCTAAAAGGGCAGATACACTAGCTTTTGAGATGAAGCGGCTTGAAGAAAAACATGAAGCTTTACTCAAGGAAAAAGAGGTGATCATAAATGTTCGATAAGAAATATGTCCTTTTGTTGTTGTTGCTTTGGATTTCCCTAATTCTGAACCACTAACCTGAATCCTAAGCATATTTTCTTTCAAGTGATTTTCTAGTTTAATGCCTTATGGTTTAAGTCTTTGATCCCTTTTTAGTTGCTATCTCAGTACACAGTGAGAGATATTGCGTGACTTTTTTTTTTTAAGCGGGGGGCAACAGTAATTGGAGAGGCATTCTTTTCTCCAGTGTATAAGTTTTTGTTCTTTTGGTGGAGGATCATTTGACTGTAAAGGCCTGGATTTATTTTTGGTATTCGTGTCCCATTTCAGTCGGTTTGAGTATTTGCCAGTTCTGGTTCTAGTTGCTGCTCCCTGCAGTACAGTTTGATATCGAGTGTTGTGATGCTTCCATTGTTTGCTTGGTTCAGGATTGCTATTTGCAATGTCTTGTGCTTTCATAGGAATTATAGCTTTTTCCCAGTCATTCTTTTGTAAAAATGTTTTTATCAATCCTTCCATGGAGATTGCACCAAATCTTTATACGTTGGGGTGGTGTAGACATTTTAGAAATATATGATTCTTATATAGAGTACTAGAGAAGAATTACAATTGATAAATTTAGTAAAGTTGTAGGAAAAAATCAGCCCACAAAATTAGTAGCCGTTTAATGCATCATTAATGATATTGCTGCAAAGAAACTATGAAAAAAAATCACAGTGACAATAGCTACAAAATAAATGAAATTCTTAGTACTAATTTTAACCAAGAAAGTTTAAGACCTCTGCGGGGAAAGTGAGAAGCACTGATGATAGAAATGAAGACAACACATAACAGAACGCAGTCTGCGTGTTCACACATGCTTTATTCAGTCCTGTTAGCTTTGCCAGGAGAGACAGTGAAGTCACAGCCACAGTCCTCAGTTTGTGAGTGTTTTTTTTCTAGGTTTTCAGCCAACTACCTTAAAGCAAGGATCATCAACAGCTTTATTAGCATATAGGAACATACTGTGTCTTCTACTTTAAAGTATACTATCCCACGGGTGCCATTTAGCGGTCATATTGCTGTGACAGGATGCCAATAAATGCCAATTTATATATGACAGGAAATTAGACTTTAGCTTATCAGTTACTGAAGCTTTATTCATAATGGCTTGTTTTGTTGGCAAGCCTGTGGTAGGGTGGAACACCATAGAAGCAGTGAGCTTTTGGAAGAAGAGACTCTTAGGTCATGGTGGATGGTAGGCAGAGAAAGGAAGTGACCAGGACAAGAGCTAAGTCCCCAAGGCCATGACCCAAGCCATCTGTTTCCTCCAACTAAGGTTCACCATCTAATACCATCGTCATGTGACTCCACCAGGGATTAATCCACTCATCAGTTCAGAGCCCTCACGATCAATCATCTCTGAAGTGGCTCCCCTGCCAACCTCGTAGCTGTGCTTTGCTGATATTCTAGGCAGTTTTCGCTTCAGTGGAGTTGAAAATTGAAACCATCACACAAGGCTTTTAGTATATATGTATAGAATTGAGCCACCATTACTGTAATCAAGTTTTAGAATACTCTTATTCCAAAAAGAAATTCTTTACATAGCAGGTAGCACACAGTCTGGTCTTTTCCCATCAGTCTCAGCAACTGTTTTTGTTCTTGCTGTCTCTGCATTTTCCTGGCGTGACTGAACCATGCAGTGACATGACTAGTTTTGAGATTATTTTAGCTCAGGCTTCATATGGTGTACTGTCTATTCTTAACTATTGCCCACTGTGTTGATACAGCATGTTTCGTTTGTCTAGTCATCAGTGTGTAGACATTGGGACTCATCCCACTTTGGGCTGTTATGAATATTGCTTCTGGTTTATTCACACGTTTTTATGTGATGTTTTTCATTCCTCTGGAGTACATACTAAGGAAGGTGGCATAGTGCCTTACAATGAGTATATTTAATCTCTTTTTCTGTGTGCCTGCCAACACTTTTCTGTCTGTCATTTTAATTTATTTTAGCTATCCTAGTGAACCTGAATTTTTACTTGCATTTTCGTAATGGCTAAGGACCTTGTGCAAGTATATGTACTTTATGGTTCTTAAGATCCTTCCCATGATTCATTTTAATTATTTGCTTTTATTTTGTAAGCATATTTTAAAATATACTCTGGATGTAAGTCCTTTCTTAGATAACTACTTTTTGAATGTTGTCTCTGATTCTGTGTGTTGTCTTCTCAAATTCATAATAGTCCTGCTTGCAGCAAAAGTTTCCCATATACATTCAGTTACAGCTGTCCGCTTTTCTTGTTTTTTATTTTACCTCTTTGTGCTCTTTCACAGGTGTAGAGTCAGGCTCTTATATGTAGTCTGTGCTCCATTTTGTACATGATGTGAGGTAGTGTTCAAATTACTCACTTGTAGGCTGCTGTCTGCTGTCCTAGCAGCATTTGATTCAAAGACTTATGAGTCAGTGTACCTGACCCTGTTGTGGTACATACATGTCATAGGCTGTGTGACAGGAAGAGCAAAGCCTGCACACTGGAATGCATTCATAACAGTGCAGTCACACCGACACACTGGAATGCATTAGTAACCGTGCACTCACACTGACACACTGGAATGCATTAATAACAGTGCACTCACACTGACACACTGGAATGCATTCATAACAGTGCAGTCACACCGACACGCTGGAATGCATTAATAACCGTGCACTCACACTGACACACTGGAATGCATTCATAACAGTGCAGTCACACACACTGGAATGCATTCATAACAGTGCACTCACACACACTGGAATGCATTCATAACAGTGCACTCACACTGACACACTGGAATGCATCCATAACAGTGCACTCACACACACTGTAATGCATTTATAACAGTGCACTCACACTGACACACTGGAATGCATTCATAACAGTGCACTCACACACACTGGAATGCATTCATAACAGTGCACTCACACACACTGGAATGCATTCATAACAGTGCACTCACACACACTGGAATGCATTCATAACAGTGCACTCACACACACTGGAATGCATCCATAACAGTGCACTCACACTGACACACTGGAATGCATTCATAACAGTGCACTCACACACACTGGAATGCATTCATAACAGTGCACTCACACTGACACACTGGAATGCATTCATAACAGTGCACTCACACACACTGGAATGCATTCATAACAGTGCACTCACACTGACACACTGGAATGCATTCATAACTGTGCACTCACACTGACACACTGGAATGCATTCATAACTGTGCACTCACACTGACACACTGGAATACATTCATAACTGTGCACTCACACTGACACACTGGAATGCATTCATAACAGTGCACTCACACACACTGGAATGCATTCATAACAGTGCACTCACACACACTGGAATGCATCCATAACAGTGCACTCACACTGACACACTGGAATGCATTCATAACCGTGCACTCACACTGACACACTGGAATGCATTCATAACAGTGCACTCACACACACTGGAATGCATTCATAACAGTGCACTCACACACACTGGAATGCATTCATAACAGTGCACTCACACACACTGGAATGCATTCATAATAGTGCAGTCACACACACTGGAATGCATTCATAACTGTGCACTCACACTGACACACTGGAATGCATTCATAACTGTGCACTCACACTGACACACTGGAATGCATTCATAACTGCACTCACACTGACACACTGGAATGCATTCATAACAGTGTACTCACACACACTGGAATGCATTCATAATAGTGCAGGCACACACACTGGAATGCATTCATAACTGTGCACTCACACTGACACACTGGAATGCATTCATAACTGTGCACTCACACTGACACACTGGAATGCATTCATAACAGTGCACTCACACACACTGGAATGCATTCATAACAGTGCACTCACACACACTGGAATGCATCCATAACAGTGCACTCACACTGACACACTGGAATGCATTCATAACCGTGCACTCACACTGACACACTGGAATGCATTCATAACAGTGCACTCACACACACTGGAATGCATTCATAATAGTGCAGTCACACACACTGGAATGCATTCATAACTGTGCACTCACACTGACACACTGGAATGCATTCATAACTGTGCACTCACACTGACACACTGGAATGCATTCATAACTGTGCACTCACACTGACACACTGGAATGCATTCATAACAGTGCACTCACACACACTGGAATGCATTCATAACAGTGCACTCACACTGACACACTGGAATGCATTTATAATAGTGTACTCACACCGGCACATTGGAATGCGCTGATAATGTGTACTCACACTGATACATAGGTCACAGCAGTGCAAAGGTATTAGAAATACAGAAACTGGCAGTGGAAGAGAAATGAGGGAATGCATAGGAACTTGGGGTTCCCTGTTCATTTTCTAATAAATCTAAAATTAGCCAAAAAAGAGCCTACTAATTAAAAAAATTACATGTACCTTGCCTATCAGCTGTCTTACATTGATCTATATGCCCGGCCCCTGTGTTGGTGTCCCTCTATCAGTCATGATCATTATAGCTTTTTAGTCAAGTTTTAAAATTAGAAAATGTGTATTCTGGGCAGGCTAGGTGGCTCGGTAGGTAAAAGTTCCTGGCATCAAAGTTGACAACCTGAGTTTGGTCCTTGGGCCCCACGTGTGGAAAGCATGTGCACACGCACACACACACAGAGCTGCTGGCTCCTGGTTGTTGTTAGGGTTGTAACTGCTAACAGAACAATTCTTTTTTAGAGACTGATAGAACAGCGTGACACTCTGAAAGAGACGAATGAGGAGCTACGGTGCTCACAAGCACAGCAAGATCACCTACACCAAGCTGGTGAGTTGGGCAGAGTTACATTGGTTTTTCTAGTGATTGAAGTACTGATGACACACTGACTCATTTCTGTTGCTTAGATGTGTCTGCTACAAAAAGTTATGAGACCCTCGCTGCTGAGATCATGCCAGTGGAGTACAGGTAATGTGTATGGACTGAAAACCACACCTAATAAATAGTACAAGTGCCAGTTGGTTTTAGTCTGTCTTTATAAAAAATTTACTTGTCTATTAAAACTTTAATGAAAAAGTTTATTATTATAATAGAGCTGAAAACAACTTTCTCTAGTTATCTTTACTTCAGCAATTTAAAAAAATATCGTAAGTAAAATTTTAAGAATTGTCAGAGTAACAGTCTAGTGTTTATGACAAGGCCTGTATTTATTAAAATATTTTTTTATTTTTTAACTCTGGAAAACTCTTAATATAATGAATATATGACATTCAAATCCCTGTGAGTGAAATAAAATAGAAACATTGTCAGTAGTAGTAGGCAAATTAAACAAAATACAAATGTAGGCATTCCCCTTCAGTCTGTCTCTTATCCTGGTTGTTTATGGTGATTTACTTGTAGGCATTTTACCTATCTAGTTGTAAAATATTATTTCTAGGCTTTGGCCCAAGTCAGGTTTTATTTATTAACTCAGATTATTGTTTGTATAGTTTAAGCTGTAACTCATCTCTTACTGTCCCTGTCGCTGACCGTCCCCGTACTATCCGATGGTAGAGCCTCTGTCACTGCACCCACATGGCCTGTCCAACACCCAGTAGCAGTTGTTTCCCGTTCTCCCTGCCCCGAGATCTCACCCCAGGTGACCAGCACCAGCTGCCTTTTATTACTGACATACATAGAATCCAACAGTTGGTGTCCTTTTGGAATTCAGATCTTTTTCTTAGAATAATACAGACAAATAATCCTGAAATTCTCTCTGACACATTTAAACTTTATAGATAAGACTATACTTACTAACACAACAGTTTAAAAATACATCAGAAGCAACATCCCACAAACTAGCGTTCTAAATTTATAACCTGACTTTTTCTTGCTAAGCTTTCATGTACTTTGTTGTTAAAAAAGAAACTTACTGCCTAAAATTCATATAACAAAAGCTGCTTTGCTTTAGAAGTTAAGTAATTCAAGTTATAAAAGTATAAAGAAGACAAAAAGCAGTATCATTAACAAACCTCAGAGTAGTTACGTAAATTGAGAATCCTTTGTTGAGTCAGTCGTTATTCTGAAATCAGGTTTTCAAAGGCTGTAGAGCTTAATTTTTAGAGTGATGCTTTTGTAATTTAAAACAAAATTTAGATTTGTTGAAAGTAGTTATTTTAGGAGTATGAGATTTGGAAAAGGGAGAAAGTATAAGTTTCCTATTTAATACCAGAATGAAAATTGCATTGAATATAAATATGAAAAGTACTTTAAGGCCTTTATATAAACAATTAATAAACTTTTAAATATTTAAAAATATCATGTTTACTGTGTTTACACCATTCCCATCTCTCACCCCTTTGTGTACCCTACTCACCCGTTACCTCTTGATATGTGTATATATATTAAACAAATAAATAAATCTTACCTGCTGCATCCATTTACTGTTGCTGATATGTATGTGTTTTGGGGGCTTGACCATTTAGGAATGGATAACTAACCAAGTAAAGGTTCATTCCTGGAGAAGACTGATTCTCTCCCAACAGTCTTTAATTGGCCGTATCATCCACATCTTGTGAGATTTCCCCCATCCAACTGATGCTGTCATTGTTTAGGTCTTGCTTGGCCAGCCTTGTAGTTGAGATTCCATGCATGCAGCTTCCATGTCCTCATACAAAAGATTTCTCAGCTTGGTCCTCTGTCTCTTGGAATCTTCCCTCCACATTTTCTGCCGTCTTCCAGGGGCTTAGATGGTAGGATTGTGTTGTGGGTGCATGAGTCAGCGCTCAGTTGTTGTGCCTCCCTGTAATGTTCTCCTGCAGCATTTGCAGAAGTTTGCTGGCTGAGGGGCAAGAGGTACACTTAGGTTTTGGTATAAGGATAAGTATTAAGAATGCATTTTAAAGCTGAGCATAGTGACAAATGCTTTCAATCCCAGTGCTTTGGAGGCAGAGGCAGAAGATCTCTTGAATTCTAGGCCAATCAGCACTCTATAGTGCGATCCTGTCTAAAATAAAAAATGAAAAAGAACGCAGTTAAAGATTATACTGATTTTAGGAAGTGTCAGTAGTAGATTCTGTTGAGTGGACCTTTAGTCCAGTTACCAAGATGTAAGTGCCAATATGCTATCTTTTGGGGTATCTTGCCTTGATGGTCGTTGTCTATAAGCACCAGAGCTGAGTAGGACCTACTGATGACTTTCCTTGGCAGCTTGGCAGCTTTCTTAGCAGCTTCAAGTACTGTAAGATCTAGTTCTTATGGAGGAGACTTCGAGGTCAAATTCTGCTGGGTTCCTCTTAAGTCCTAAGTGCCTATTGTCTTCCACAACAGGGACTTACCTTCAACCTCTGAGAGGCAACCGAGTACAATAGCAACAGCATAGATTGTGTTAGGACTCTCTTAGATGCCTCTAACCAACAACTAGAAAGGAGGTTTCTTATACCTACACTGTTTTTTTTTTCTTTTTGGTTCTTGGGAAAGGATAAGCACAATAACACTAAGTGGCATAACTTCATTTAAGAAAATACATACCCCCCATAGTTATACATAGCTTTAGGTGATCATAAGAGGATTCTCCCAACTGAAAACATCCTTTCTGTTTACCACCCCCTCTCTGGGACTGTGGTATTCTAAGCCTTCCAGCTTACTTTCCTCCCTATTTTTCTCATTTACTACTTCATAGCACCTATGGTCTGCTATTCCCATGCCTGGCGTCTTTCCAGGTGTCTGTGGTTATGCCAGATTGATATATTGTGAACTCAACTCCTGCAGATTCAGAACTGGAAGTACAAATAAGAGAAATGGAGCATTTATATTTTTTCTTTCGACTGTTTACCTGCTGAAATATGATTTCATTTTTCTTTACAGCCAAATAATCTCATAAAGTTAAAAATAAATCACCCCTTGGCATATGCCCCAAAGGCTCAGTATCAAAATAACTATGAAATGAAAATAACAAAATTTCCTTCAGCTGATGAATGAATAATGAAAATGTACATATACACAAAAGATTTTCTTAAAGAAAAAAATATGAAACCGGGTGGTGGTGGCACACACCTTTAATCCTAGCACTGGGGAGGCAGTGACAGGTGGATTCTTGTGAGTTTGAGGCCAGCCTGGTCTACAGAGAACTACGGGTGTTATACAGAGAAACTCTGTCTCGAAGCCCCCTTTAAAAATAGGTAGAGATTAGTGATCATAAAAACGTATTTAAGATTTTTAGGCAAAATGTTTTCTTACAATTTTTTTTTATCATATACATTCTGAAAATATACTACTTTTCCTGAGGTTGTATTTAAAAGTGAAGATTATCTAGGAACTTGCATAATTAACTTTTGAGGTGTGACCTTTCAGGACATACAGTATGTCTTTAAACCTTTTAAGAGTTTTGATCATATTTTTACATTAGATAGGAGCTCCCTTAAGCTAATATGGTGGTTCCAGTGAACTGGCTCCGTGGGTTAAGGTACTTGCTGCCAGCCCTAGCTACCTGAATTCTATCCCTGGATCCACGTGGTAAAGGAGTGAACTGACTCCACAAGATGCCCTCTGACCTTTAATTTACATGGGTACCCTGGAACATGTATGCACAAACACATATACATACCTATATACACAAAATAAGTATATAAATGTAGCAACAATTTGAAAATATATTGTGAACTTTATTTTAAAACTTGAAAAAAATTGCTTTTCAACATTAGAGAGGTGTTCATTCGACTGCAGCATGAGAACAAAATGCTTCGCCTGCAGCAGGAAGGGACGGAGAATGAACGCATCGAGCAGCTGCAGGAGCAGCTGGAGCAGAAGCACCGCAAGATGAACGAGCTGGAAACTGAGCAAAGGTGACTGCTGCCATTAGGAGTCATGTGCAGGAACCAGCACTGGGGTCTGAATACATAGCACTGGCAAGCAGGTGTTCCTTACCTATGAAGAATTCAAAGGATTAGTTCAGGGATATCAGCATAAAACATATGAAGAATGTTCATTTTAATAGACTTGGCTAGCCAGGGTACTTATTTTTGATTTTCACTAGACAGCCTCACAACTGAAAGAAAACAAATAAGTAAATAATGATTTAGTGGCTCCTACAGTTGGGTGTATAGATAGGACACAGATGTATAGTCGAGATAGTTAAATTTTTAGTTTTTCATAAAAAAATTTAGTAATAATATATAAAATAATACTTAACACAGATCAAAAGTTACATTTTTAAATAGAAAATGTTTACTGAGATTTATATTGGTGAGGTAAAATTTCTCATAAAAATTCATATGTATTTAAAAATTACTGGTCATTCTTGGACATGGAAATTTATATTTTAGTGGTAGAATAATACTTCCATAAGGATGGAAATGATGTGGTATTTAAACTTGGGCTTTTGTGTGTGGTCAATTAGAATTCCACTTCTGTTTAACTCAGTTGCTGTTTCTCAGCAAGTTACTCAAGTTCAGACTATTCAGCTATAGACACAGGAGGAATCTGCTTAATGTAGTGTGCTTTCCTTGTCCTTAAACTTAAATGTGACTTCTATGAATTTCCTGTCAGAGTCTTCCATAATGTCTTTCCTTCTGTGCTTCAAACTTGCCAGGGGTGCCTACAGGACAGGCAAGCGAGTGCTCTATGCTGAACTCCCTTTCCACCCTCATAAATAGTAGTTACATACAAGCACTTTTGTCGACCAGTTCATAAATCCTCACTGGGAATTAGGGACTGTGATCACCTTCTCTATGGATAAGGAGGTGGAGATGGAGAGAGTCAGAAGCTCACTGAATTTAGACAGCTGAATAAGCTCTGGCTTCCACATTGAAGGCATCTGCCAGCCTGACTGCTGAGGGTCTTCTAACTTACCTATAGTGTATAGTGAGTACAAGGAGATACTCACTATAGAGGTAGGTGCAGCTGGATTTGTTTATCCAGCTTACCAGGTCGTCAAGAGACCGCTGGGGTTCAGACACTTGAACCTTGTTTCCTGTGAGTAAAATAGGGTACATTTGACCGTTCTGAAGAGACTTGACTATTACTGTATCGCTAACCCGGGAAATACTAGGTTTCTGCTTTTGGTGATAAAGAATGATAGATGTGTGACTCATTCAGTATGTGCATGTATATGCTTTAAGAAGGGAAAAGTTCTTTCTAAATTATTTCCGCAGAAGTGACATCCTGTTCTGCCTGTCGTGCTTGTCACAGATAAGAGCCTTGCCCTTATTTATGCTAGCATTTCTATTAAATTGCGTGGATGTACTTTTATAGACCCCAGATGCTTTAACTTCAAATACGAGTAGATAAATACCAATTCATGTCACAATAGATTGAGCAAAGCGCGCATTGGAGAATTGCAGCAGCAAATTGAGGACCTCCAGAAGTCGTTACAAGAACAGGGCTCCAAGACTGAAGGCGAAAGTGTGAGTAAGAAAGTCTTAACTCGAATAATTTCCACTACCCATTTATCTGCATTTGAGAATGCACCCTTCTCATGAATGGTACCTTCAGATACCATCTATAGATGCAGTGATTTTGCCAACTTGAAGTCTTACAGATTGCTTATATGAATCATAAGGTGATTTCTATCTGTACTGCCTGGAATCTGTACTTAAGTTCTCTACATTTTGACTCAGTGGTAGACTTTGAGAGCCAACAGATCTACAGGGATCTTAACCAGGCTTGTTCTGAAGTAAAAGAGATGAGAATAATCATCATTCAGAAGTGGAAAAGCTTCCTAATAGGAAACAAGTGATCCCAGTTGACAGCTCATTCCAGAAATTGGAACAGGTGTGAAGGACAGGAACACAGTTTTGAAGACATCGTCTCTATTGCTTCTCTTTCACACCATTTCAAAGCATTTCAGACTGAGATAAGAAGTTGAAAAGAGATTTAATCTGAATTTTGACATATCTAGCAGTTTTTCTATATGTGGGAAAGAAAAGAACTGAGAGAGATGCAGTTGGTGAAAAGAAAAGGTAGATCTGGCCAGGTGGTGGTGGCACACACCTTTAATCCCAGCACTGGGGAGGCAGAGGCAGGAGGATCTCTGTGAGTTAGAGGCCAGCCTGGTCTACAAGGGCTAGTTCCAGGACAGGAACCAAAGCTACAGAGAAACCCTGTCTCGAAAGAAAAAAAAAAAAAGGTAGATTGGTAGAAGCTGTGAAGTAAGGAGAGGTGGAAAGACAGATTGATATTGAGAGGGCTGAGTTTCCCTCTGTCTTTTCATACTTCACATGGTTTTCTTTCTTCTGGGTGGCTTGGAACATAGAAGTCATCTCATGCATGGCGACATCTCATATGTGCATATATATGGTATTGTATCCTCTCTAATACAGGTATTGCTAAGCCACGTTAGGGAATACTTTTAAAATGGCGCCTATTTGGGGTACTATGTTTTGGGTCGCAGTGTTTTGAAGATTGTCAGCTCCTTTACGTTTTGATTTTCCTGTACTGATTTCCACGTTACCAGAATTTTGCAGGTGCCCTGTTGATACAGAACTGCTGCTGTGGTTCTAAGCACTGCTTTTAAAGGAGGAAACTTGATTTTTTATATTTGTTTTTGACAAAAATCCAGTTGCCTCATTTAGTGTTGATGTTCATGTGCTTTCATTTATAATGATAAGGTTTTATAAGAAAAATATTAAAATCTGTATTTTTTTTTAATAGTTGTTAATTAGGTATTGAAATGTTTGATACTCCCCAATATGTCACATTCAGCTTGGATTTCCTACTTTTCTTCCAGTTCACATTTAATTTTTATTATGTTCAAAAATAAGCAGAATTTTTCCTTGTTACTCTTCTTTACTTTATTTCCCATTTTTATTTCCTTTTCCTTTTGTTGTAGAAAATATACCTAAAATTTTAGGTTTTAGAAACTGTGCTATTACAAGTACATGTTTTGAAGATTATTTTTACATAACATACCTTTAAAAGAAGTGAAGAAATCTAAATGTTTGGGAAATTTACCCTTCTCAAGTGAGTCATCTTAACAGCAACTATTTTTAATTTTATAGTCCAGCAAACTAAAGCGGAAGTTGGAAGCTCATATGTAAGTAAACTCATGTTCCATTTCAAAGGGGAAGGGTTGTAGAAGCTTCTGGAAAATGTCTTTTCTGACTTGGTGAATGAAAACACAGGCCCAGACTACTCACTACTGCTACCAAGGGCAAGAAAAGACGTGATCAATCGCTCATGCCTGGCAGCCGCCAACTCCTGCATTTTTAAACAGCTAACATCATCTGACAGATTTAACCGAGCAGACATTTATGGACCAGCCAAGTGGATGCACAGTGGATGCTGTGCTGCTAAAGCTGTACAGCCTTTCCTCTCAGTTGTGTAGAAAGTGGAGGTGCAGAGGGAAAGGCAAAGGCTGGAGTGCACCATGTGTCACCATGTGCATCTACACAGCAGACCCTGGAGTTAGTTAAATAGGTTCCCACTTTACCTGTGGGAAACTAAAGATCAGACAGACTCTTGTCCGAAGTCCAGACCTTATGTGGCAAAGACCAGTTTTCATTCTAACATCTGTTTGACACCAAGCTACATGCTCTCTCCACTACTTAGGGAAAAGCTAACAGAAGTCCATGAAGAATTACAGAAGAAACAGGAGCTCATTGAAGACCTTCAGCCAGATATAAGTCAGAATAGTAAGTTTGGGTAAAATCTGGATATATTTCTCAGGATTGACCCTTCTAGTGAAGCAGATAAGAAAATAGATTTGCCTTTACACAGTGTGTTGTGTGCACATTGCATAAGAACCATGGTAATTTTTAAAGCTAAGATCATTTGCATACAATATAATTTTAAAGCAAAGCCATTTTAGTTAGATGAACTGATTGATATAAAGGAGTATCAAACATTGTAAATTCTAGTCAAGTTAATAATATAGAATCTGAGTTAAAAAAATACTGTCTTATTTTCTGTCCTTGTGGTTGTTGTTAACAGTAGACTTCACATTCTTCATGTTTGCTAGAAAAGTAGAAACGGTTAAATTATCTACAGGGGTTGAGGATACATTACTTGATATTAAAGGCTTTTTCTTGGAAACTCTCTTATCAGTCATTAGAAAATAAGTTTGATAAGTACAATTTTTACGTAAGGATAAAGTATTTTAAATATGTGATCATTGGCTTAATTTTATTTTCACAAATAGCACAAAAGATCAATGAACTTGAAGCTGCTCTCCAGAAGAAAGATGAAGACATGAAAGCAATGGAGGAGAGATACAAGATGTACTTAGAGAAAGCCAGAAATGTGAGTAACCCCCCTGCCGAGCAGATTCCTTGTGCCCATGTTCTGGTCATCCCTAGTTCAGACACAGGTCTGTGTCTGAGCCTAGTCCCTGTTCTCCTCCACCTGTCAGGTTTCTGCCATCTTCTCTGTGAGTCCTGCACACGCAGGCTGACTTAGTGTCAGATAAATGTGACCTTAGGGACGTCATCAACAATGGCAGTAGTGATCTAACTAAAGAAAGTGACTGCAGTGGTATAAACTCTTTTACTTATGTGCTGGTGTCTCAGCATGTTGGCTGAGAATAAAATTTACCAGAGTGTTAGCAAAATGAATGAAATTATTTACCTTTTTTTTTGGAGACAGTCTCAGTACTCAGTTGGTTTTATTTTACATTTTAGAGACTTAAACAGTATCCTGATGTTCATTTCTTTTCCTTATTGTATAGTTTAGTTCAAATATCTGTGAAATATTGTTTTCATAGTCTTATTTTCATGAATACCACATAAAAACTCGGAATGTTAATACGTTCTTTTCTATTTGGTAATTAGGGAATTTCGTGGTGGTGCAACTCTAAAATAATAGTATATTTACTTGTCTTAATATTTGGATTGTATATATTTACCAGTTAAAATGTCAATAAAAGCCATAGCAAAAGTTGAACCTCAAATCTCAAGGCTTCACATGCTGACCTCTTCCGTCCTAATTTTAGCGTATCTAGTCATGAGTGAGAGTGGTTCTCAATGCAGTCATTGAGGTCTCAGCACAGCCCCAGGTTACCACTGTCTGCTAGTGGATGAGAAGAGACAGTGTAGACCCTAGAGGTGACGTTCTGTAGGTTAGGCCTGGAGACAGCAGCTGAGTGGGAGAGCTCACATGTATGGCCGCAGTGCACATGTAAAAAGAGATAGGATGTAACATAGTTATGTATCAGAAATAACAAGCAAATATATTTGATTTCTAGCACCTACTTGATGGCCCACAACTATCTGTAACTCCAGTTCCAGGAAACTGGATGATCTTTCCTGGCGTTTGTAAGTCCAGAGCAAACACATGGTGCACATATAAACACGTAGACAGATGCCTAGAGATGAGCCAGGAAGCAGTGAAAGCTCTTCATTCAGGGCTGCCTTTTATGTGGAATGAGGTGGAAAGCACAAGGCTTCTGAACAGAGTATGGGGTCATGGCCAGGTCACCTCCCAAAATAAAAACGAGAAATTAACTTCAAAAAGCTAAACTAACTTCAGGGCTCAAAGTTTAAATAACAAAAAAGGCTAAGTAGCTGCCATTGAACACATAGACAAGAGACATTTAGTTTGGTGTTGTTTTTCCACTCTTTTGTTCTTTAAATTGTTAGTAAGCGCCTAGTGACTTTGTAGAGAGCCTATGTTACAATTTTTATAAAACATGTTCTTATATTTTTGATACTTTTAAAGACAAAATGGACATAACTTTTCTCTTTATACAGGTAATAAAAACTTTAGATCCCAAATTAAATCCAGCATCAGCAGAAATAATGCTACTTAGAAAGCAGCTGGCGGAGAAGGAAAGAAGAATTGAGATTCTAGAGGTAAAGCCTCCGCTGCCACTCACCTCCCCCTGCCCTGGAATCTTGGGAATTAACCTCTGTCATATTTTTGGTGTGTGAGAATTATCTGTATTCTGCCAATCATGTATTTTAATAAAATGCTGATTGGCTAGGCAGAAAGTATAGGCTGGTCAACCAGACAGGAAGTAGAGGCAGGGCAATGAGAACAGGAGAATGCTGGAAAGGAGGAAGCCCATTCCTCCCATTCTAGCCCAGACCACCGAGAAGCAAGATAAAAATCATGGGTTAATATAAGCTAAAGAGCTAATAAGAAGACTGAGCTAATGGGCCAATTATAACTTATGGGATCTCTGTGTTTTTCTTTGGGGCTTGCCTGCTGTCAGGTGTCGGATGGGACAGAAAATCCAACAAGCAGGCCCTCATGTTACAGAATGGTGCCCAACATCGTTAACTCATGATCAGTCTTCATAAACCTTTACTCAACGTGGTGTTACCTGCTGAGCTAAGAACCCTGAGTTCTTAGCTATTAAAGGCATTTTGTTCTACTATTTACTTCATTTTTATGAAGTCAGGTGGGCATGGCATTGTACAGTTTTATGTTAGAGTCTGTAATTACTTTGTAGTTTTTTTGGTAAAATGTTTCACAGGAGCACTATTTTCACACAGTGGTAAGACGTGGTGCTGTTTTTGGAATGTATTTCATAGAGGTAGAGCAGACCTGTGTTTTCTGGCCTCCCTAAAGATGTTTTGATTCTGTTCTGCATAATTCACTCCTTTATTTTGACTAATTAATGTACCTCACAAGTTCATTTTTCCTTTGAGATAGTAAATAAATTACTTTGTCTTCCATACTTTGTGGCAATTTCTGATATTTTAATTGTCTTAATCATTTTTTTTTCAGAGTGAATGTAAAGTAGCCAAATTCCGTGACTATGAGGAAAAACTCATTGTTTCTGCCTGGTATAACAAGGTATAGTGCACTTCAGTGATGCGTGGGGTTGAGCCCTGTTGATCACCTCCTTGACCAGAATAGAGGGAAATGTATTTTATATCAACACAATACAGTTGTGTTATGGGTTCTAGTGATAGAGAAATACCTTCTGTCACAAGAAAACCAGTAGCCCAAACTAGAGTACTTTGTTCATGAGGTGATGTATCCTTTTCTTGTTATAATTAAGCTTAACTCTGGCATGGCTGTTTTAGGCTGCCGTTTTTAATGATTTAAAATTAAAAATTAAGAGGATTAAAATAAAAACAGTGATTTTTAGTGTCTTCATCCCAGCAGTGTCAGACATAGAAGAATCGACTTATGAATCCTTAATTTTTTTCTTGCTGGAAAGGCCTGCTAGGGCTGGTGTAAATATGACATTACTTTTTGCATGTTATTTATCTGTTTCTTTACCCAGAGCCTGGCGTTTCAGAAACTGGGCATGGAATCTCGGCTTGTGAGTAGCGCTGGTGCTTGCAAAGACACCGGTGTGGGCCCTCCTCCTCGGTCCTTCTTAGCACAGCAGCGGCACATCACCAGCACCCGGAGGAACCTGTCTGTTAAAGTCCCAGCCGCAGCATCTGACTAGTCTACAAACAAACACGAACAGAAGTGCCTCAAAATGTTTTGTACCCCAAGAAACTACCAGACGAAAAACAAAGGTTAAAATGCTTGGTATCAACTAGTTTTGTTTGGATTTTGTTTTGAGATAGGGTCTCCTATACCACAAACTGGCATTGAATTTACAACATATTCAGGGATGACCTGGAACATTGATCAGTCCTTCCGTCACTTCCTGCATGCTGGTTTCTATAGTGCTGGGGATCAAAACCTGCCCTGTAAGTCAGGTGACCTACCAGCTGATCTACATTCCCAGTATTGGTATCAACTATTTTTAAGTCAATATATATCAAATTAATATTTAAGTTTACTCTAACTAAAAAATACAGAATCAGCTGTCTCTGGGCAGTACTTTTGAGTACGTGGAAGTGTGATAAAGCAAATATTTGTCTTGAGATGGCATCATGGGAAAGCAGCTACATATTTCAGCTTTACGCTTCTAGTTGTAACAGCAAGTCAGTTAATTTGTAATTTAGTAGTACGTCTAGATTTGCCTTGTGGGAAGCAGTAAGGCATGTAGAGCAGACCTGTGCAAGGCAGATTCTTTGTGTGTACAGAGCGTTCCTCTACTTGCCAATTCTGCCCTCAAGAGGAGACTGTCAAGCTGTGGAAGGAAGCTCTAACGCTTGGAAGATTTTACCGTTGGAGTGACTTTGTCCTGTCGGAGTGACTGACTAGACATTCGCAGTTTCTCCGAGATGTATCTCAGTTTGCACATGCACTGCTGTGGATGAAGGCTGCAGGGCTTGACGGGGACTTTAAAGTGGGAAGTAAGCTGTGTTGTAAAAGGGAACTTTCTGTTGGAAAGCAAACTAGAATACATGTTGAATTTCCACGTGCTTTTGAGCATGAAGTTGTTGTGGCGTTTGCTTTCTAAGAAGGGGTAGATCATGTATAATGTTGCCTCATTGAAAAGAAACAATGATGTAATAGCTTAGGACAGGTTCAGTTCCTGCTTACCTCTGGGAAGGGTCTGGAGCTGGATTCGTGGTGTTCAGGTCATTTCTGCCCAGCATTGGTCTTTTCAGAGAGGTTTCTCTCTCGTTTAGGGTCACTTTTTAAAGTCACACTTTGGAATATTAGTTGTTAAATCAGTATTGCCTGATGTAGCCACAAGTGGTCCGTGCTTGTGTCAGACACATTTCCAGCACTTCGTAGGCACATTCTTTGATCCTTAGACTACAAAAGTAAGAAGTGTTGCACCGTTTCATATCTAGAGAGAGAAAGCAGGAGGTGCAGGAGTGCAGCAAACAGTAGTGTCACAGCCCTGTGTACCTTGACCGCCAGCAGGCATTCTGTGAGGGGCTGTGCTTGTGGGCTGCTCCCTCCTTGTTGGATCGGCTCCTCACATCTCCCTCCCCTCGTACCACCAAAGAGGAGATGTAAACCAAATGGGTGTAAGTCAGATTGAGCTGATGAGCTATAGAGCTGTGGTCTCCGTTTTATTCTTAGTCCTTCATAAATATGAGTATTGCTCTCTTTGAAGTGTTAACTCGTGTAGATAACTGCCTTTAAATTCTTGCCCAGTAATTTTTTAACGACTTAAAAAAAATTCACAGTGATTTGGGGTCTTTAGCAGCATCTGCCGGGATAATTTGTTTTATCAGGGTTCCTTCTGTTGACTACCTCTTAGATTTGATGCTTTGTGCATTTAAACTGTTGGTTTGCAGTTTTGTATGTTCTTATGCTGTCTGCTTGCCCGTGTCTTTTAGTAAAATAAGACTTTGAAAATACTTTAGCATGCTATTTAATATTTTCTAAAAATTGTGGCATTTGGGTATATTTTTGTTATTGAAGATATATTGATGTGTTTGTAATTGCTTATAATTGAGATTTTACAAATCCCCTTTTAATGGAACTTATTGTAAAAGATCAACTTCAATAAATTACTGTTTCTAGTGCAATTGCTCATAAATTTCTAAATAATGTAGCATAAATACGAACATAAGGATAGGTTCTTTTTTTCTTAATAAAGAAAAGGCAAATTTTCTGATTTTTCTAGTTTTAAGTAGACTTTCAAATGTTTGATACGTGTTTATACAAAACTATGTAAAGTTCTATATAATTGAGACTAATCACAAAAATTCAGGCAGGCAGTAATCGGGGTGAGATTCTTTCCGTGTGTGGCTGCTGCAGTGATACTGGTGCCCTGCCAGGTATAAACCAGGTATAAAGTGTTTCATCTGGAACCGTCATTTCTACAGTGTGTTCAGGAAGGATTGAATGACAATAAACATGGAATTGACAAAAATTTATGTTCCGGTGATTATAAAGTTATAAACAATCTTGAATTTCAAGCAGTTGTCCTTGAATTGATACTCCTTTCTCTTTTTGGATATAATTATGACAAATTGTTTATCTTGGGATTAACTTAATATATTGATAAATATTTGAAGTTGATTCTATGGTTTAGTGTAAATTAAAAACGTCTTGCCTGGCATCCTTTAGCTGAGTATCCCTTAGTAAGATCTGGTCAGCCATTGATGACTGGATGTTAAACTCTTCACAAACACTCCTACTTCTGTGTAATGGTACATCTGGCCTTTTGGGCGTGATGGTGGTTTAGGTCAGAAGAGTATCATTTTATGTAGAAATGAATGTATATGGCTTGTTATACATACAGTCTTACTGTGATCCTGTTTGTTGCACAGAAATAGTTTGGACATTTTAAAGCACAAATCATCAGAGGAAATAGTGTGTAGTTATTAAACTTGAGGAAGTTTCAGTGCAGTGTTTAGTTTATAAAAAGGTCCTTTCTATTTTCTATGGCAAATACTGTCACACTTGAAAAATAGAAGCAATACTTGATTTATTTTTTTAAGTATTTAGAATATTATTTTAAATAAATGTCAATATAATTGTGAAATGTTTTAAGTAAATAAACTTCTGCTTCTGCATCAGTTGGTTGTGGTGTTTTTGGTGGCTACAAATATATATTTATTTCCTGTTTTAATAAAGGGCTAAACCCACTTAGATTAGTAAGCAAAACTGCATGAATTCATTTTTTTATGTGTGAACAGGTGTGTAAAAGTGATTTTTGTGTGTCCTCTGTCTCCAGTTTTACCACCAGAATGTTGAGGTGGACTCCAGACCATTTCAAGGCATACAATTTTAGGGTTATTGAGTACTAATCTCAAAACTCATTCTTAGATTTCCTTTTATAAATAGTTTCCTTAATATAATTCATTAGTAACTATATTACCTTGGGGGTTGGTCCTTATGTGGCTAGGTGACAGGACCCTGTGAGTGCTGGCTAATTGGATGTGAATAGCACTGACTTGCAGATAGAGAATACAGGCATGTGTAGTCAGATGCTATGCATGTTTCCCAGCTGCCCAGAAGCAAATAATCACAGAAACTATCAATTACAACACTGTTTGGCCAATAGCTTAGGCATATTCCTAACTAACTCTTACATCTTACTTAAATTAATCCATTTCTATTAATCTGTGTATCATTATGAAACTATGGCCTACTGGTAAGGTTCTGGCACCCTTCTCCTTCAGCAGCTATATGCTGTATATCTCTGACTTCACTTTCTCTCTTCTGATTTCCCACTTGGCTTTACTCTGCTAAGCCATTGGCCCAAACAGCTTTATTCATCAACCAATAAAAGCAACACATATACATAAGGACATCCCACATCATCTCCCATCTTCTGTCTAATTAAAAGGGAAGGTTTCAACTTTAATTTAGTAAAATCACATATACCAAACAGTTATCAAGCCAGAATTATAGTTATAATATTTAGTCCTTTTACGTTTGGCAAATTAAGGAAAATATTTTTATTATCTATCCTGTCTTCGTGAGTCTAAAGTTTTATACTTTATTTTTTATCATAACTAAGGAAAACTGATAACTATTTTGTCTTTAACTCTTTAAAGACCCCAGAAGGATATAATATTACCTAAGTAGACAGGAAGTGTATTATAAGCAACTTCAAAGTTTTAGAATTGACAAAGACATCTTGTTGCCTGGAGAGTTACACAAAGTTCTTCTGTAATGCTGGGGCCATCTTCATCCTACAGGCCCATAGTATCCAGCAGATTTTTTTTACAAAGCAGGGAATTTGAAGATCTGTTTTGCCTTATAATGGCAAAGTTTATTAGCTGCTTTTTTGTGTGCCCTGCAGAATGTCTGCCAGTTTTTTTGTATGTGAAGCAGGAACCCTGAAGGACCATCCTGTGTTTTGGAAAGTTTAGCAGACAATTTTGTGGGTCCTGCATGTCCAGTTTATACAGCATACCATCATCCAGTCCAAGCAAGAGTAGTTTTTTACCCAAATGGCTATCCTTGTCATATTGAAGGCAAATTTCAAAATGATGTTTTTTTTAATGCCCATCAACTTCTTTCAAATAATTGGTGTTGCCAAAAGCAGACACGGCTCACTGTTAAGTCTAAATTCTTCAAACATTTTAAGTGCCATATTTTGTAGGTCTTTGAAGTGTTGAAGATTATCTAGCTGAAATACATATCTAGAAAACCTAACATGACTACAAGTTTGACTATTATAAGACTTTTAATCCATAAATTTAATTATGTATTACATTTTTTAATGAGCTGCACAAACACAATACCTTAAATAAGAGCATAAATACATATAACAAAATTGACCTTAAATTTGTATCAGTAGTTCAAGATCCATACCAATGCAACATATTCGCCTCTATATTATATACCGTCCTTTTTTAAAAAGAATTGACTATGACCATTAATGATTTATACCCAACCCCCTTTAAATGAAAGCAAACATTTAAAAGCAATCATTTTGGGAATTTGGGCATAATTTCCTCAAAACTGCTTCCTACTGTTTGTTGGGTGAAGTATTTCTAGGGTTTATAAAGACCTTTTGGGGATTCTTGAAGTTGGTTTAGCTTATCAGCCGCAGAATCAAATGTCTCTGCAGTCAAGAAATTTAAAGAAAAAACAATAATTACATAATCCAGACTGTCAGAGACTGTGTTTGTTTCCCGGCCGCCCAGACCCAATAACCACACAGAAACTATATTAATTGTGTCACTGTTTGTTGGCCAATAACTTAAGTACATTCCTAGCTAGCTCTTATATCTTGAATTAATTCATTTCTATTAATCTGTGTATCATCATGAGGCTGTGGCCTACTGGCAAGATTCCAGCATCGTCCTTTGGCAGCTACATGGTGTCTTTCTGACTCCACCTATTCTCTTTATCTCTGTTCTGAAACCCTGCCTGACTTGATTCTACTAAGCCATTGGCCTAAAAAGCTTTATTCATCAACCAATAAAAGCAACGTATATCCAGAAAGACATCCCACATCAGGCGTGCTCTTCCTTGCCCTGTGCCTCTCAGCCTCATGTGTCCCTTTGGTACAGCTGAAAGTTTAAAAGGAACATGGGTCCCAGAAATCACATCTGAAGCTATCAACTGTGAGCCGCTAACACGGGAGTCTCTTGTGTAAAGTTATTTCATATTTTATGCTGTGTTCATCACCCTAGCTAGCCACACCTAACCTATGTTTGCCATCTCAAGTTGTAAGTGGAGTTATAGAAAAACATAGGTTCCCATGTTCTCTAAACTTGCCTTGGAAAAGTTTAACTTTGTTGCTGTTGCTGAATGGTCAATAACTGTAACGATTACATGACTATTTAAATGTTCTGGATATAAAAGAATAGGGAGGGACAGGGGACAAAGTGAAAAACCTGCTCCACTTTAGGTGATACCCAGGAAAGCTCACAAGCTCTATTATAGGACTTAACCTTCACAACTGTAGAATATTGTGGTGGTCTAACTAAAGGAAAATCCTTTTGTTTTCTGATGTCTTTGGCAAATATGGTGTCACTAACTACATTGTTCATGTGTAGTTTTGAGTGCTTAAGGGCAAATTTCAGTCACATCATTACTTTGTAGATCAAGTTAACTGGTTAGAACTCCTGCAATTATGAGGCTTGGAAAGTTACAGACCCAAGCCGAAATTATTTTATCTATGCTTAGTTATCTTTGTAGCTATTATCAAGTGTGAAACTTAATGGGTATTTGCAAACCAGTAACTTCCATCAACCCAAAACTAAGAATGTCCTGAGATGGCAAACACGTTTCCCCCAACTTTCTGCTGCCAGCTCCTGATGCCTCAACAGTATTTTTGGTTATGTATGACTGCATTGTAACTAAATGTACATGCAGTGGTTTTCACAATAAAGTGCTCCTGAGCCTTGACGGCAAAGAAACGGTCCCGCTGCCTTTTTAGAGAGCTGCTTTCCGTCTCACACAAACCTGTGAAGCTTTGCTCTTTTCTCTCCACCCACGTCTGGCCCAAGGAGCTGATAATCTCATTAACATTTTCAAATTTACTGGTTCCTCCTGCCTGCTGATGAATACTGCTAAATCCTCCTAGGAATTTTTAAGCCTGTTACTTCCTCTTTGAGTTTTTCTAGGTTATCTCCTTTGGAAGTAGTCTCCTTGCTGTGATTTTCCATTAAAAAAACATTCTTGCTCTTCTAGCCTTGACTGCTCTTTATATTTTTTTAAAAAATGCTCGAATTATAAGACTGTGGTAATTTTCCAGAACCTGGAGATGTTGTCGGTGCCTGTTTTTACTAGTATGTGCACTGCTTTTTGAGGAAGTGGACTTTGGGGATTTACACAATAGATTTCTTTCTAGAAAAGAACTAACTCTGTCAAATGATTTATTTAAAAAGAAGCCAAGGTAATTCAAAAGGAGAAATATTAATCTTTCCAGTAACTAGTCATAAAATAATTGAATTTTGGCTATGAAAAGATAACTTTAGTTTTTTTTCTTCACATCAAAGTCAGCATTACATATAAACCATTCAGAAAAAGAAAAATATTGCCTTGGATTAGGCAAGCTATTATTAAGTGACATTTAAAGGACATATTTAAAGAAAAATGTTCTAAAATTGTCATAAAGATTCATATGCAAAGAAAAGACAAAGAAAAGAACCTCAGACTGGGAGAGATATTTGTATAAATATGTTAAAATGTGTGGATTTATATTAAAAAAAACCTAAGGTCTCTTTAATATTTTTATTTTTTGAAATTATATTATTTCTTTCAACTCCTCCCCCATACCCTCCCACTCCTAAGTTCATGACCTTTTTCTTTAGTTGTTACATTTATACATACATACTCCTAAGTACATCAGTGCTACCTACTTAGTTCAGATGGATGTAAATGATCTCAAGGCTACCACTAGGTATTGGATAACCCACTAGGGAAAAGGACTGTCCCTGGGGAAGGTCGTCTTTCCTTCTCTTCATGTTCCCCAGATGCCTTCAGGTTTTGCCTAAGGTTGAGCCCTCATGAGATTTCTCCATTCCGTGTTCTTTCCATCCCCCCATCATTGTTCAGGTGTTATTTAGGCAGCCGTGTAGATGAGTCTGTCATTGGTGTAGCCTCTGACATTTTTAGATTACAGCGACTACAGCATGGTAGCCTTTTAAAAGAGTTTGCCAAACTCTAGTCTGACTAGAACTTACCCCTCTAGACAATGGGGAGCACATATTGTTCTATGAGTTTTGTAAGGAAACCATCAAATAGCCTGGAAGAAAAATGCCTGTAAGTTTCTCAATGGCACAAACATGTACAATCACAGGGATAAGATATTTTGACTAAGTGCTGTGGGTTTTGGTTTTGGTTTTTGTTGTTGATTTTTTTTCTATCTCTCTCTGGTCCTTACAGCCTTGGCAAAGCAGGTGGGAAGTTATACAGCACTAACAGTCCTGAAATCCCTGTGCCTAACAACAAAACATTTATTTAGGACATTGTATGCCCATCTTTAATAAGCTATGGCATTGTTTCATGCCTTTGTCATTCTGGAGAATGCCATCTGGAGAGAGGCTGTAATCTAAGACATGGCAGAGAAGAAAGTACGCTGAAAAGAGGTCAGGCACTCAGAGTTTGTAAA